CAGAAGATCAAACAGAGGTTTCAGCCGACTGCACTCTAAAAAACAGTGAAACACCGTCTCCCTGTGCACACAGAAAGGACACTGATCAACAACATTCACATTAAGAACAGAGATAAAAGAGTTCACAGCAATGATTCCATGCAGGATTCTCCACTCTTTCAATGTTACACAGGAGAGAGGACGGAGGGTCGATACAGGTCAGTCTGTGCCACAGGGCAGAGGAAACAAGGTTATTGGCCACAAGTACACGACCTTTAAAAGACATCCTTGGCAACAGCCACCTCCATTTATCAAGACGTCCTTTTACTTTTTCTAAAACACCCTCCCAGTTTTTACTGACAAAAGTTTCATTCCCCCAAAACACTCCCAAATATTTAAAACCTCCTGACTTACAAAAGAGGCCTCCAGGCAGACTGAGTCGACCCCTCAGCTTCTCTCCCACCATCAGTGCTTCACTTTTCAGCAAGTTCACTTTGGCAGAAGATATCGACCCAAACAAAATCACAGTTTCTTTTAAAACATCGATATCTCTCTGCTGGTTGACAAAAACAATGACGTCATCAGCATACGCTGACAATTTAAAACTGACTTCAGAGGCAGGAAAACGAACACCAGAGAGACCTGACCTCAGTCTGTGAAGCAGGGGTTCAATGGCTAAGGAATATAACATTCCAGATAATGAGCAGCCCTGCCTCACCCCCTCTGTACACTAAAAGGAGCACTCAGGCCTCCGTTGATCTTCAGCACACTCGCAATGTCACGGTACAAAACCTGGATCTTAGCGAAGAAACATGGGTTGAACCCAAAGGCGGTTAGAGTCCGCCATAGATACTGGTGTTCAACCCGATCAAAATCCTTTTCCTGGTCTAGGAAAATCAGACCAGTGTCTACAGCCAATGAACCAGAGACTTCCAAAACATGCCGAATGAGAGTGATGTTATCACTGATGAGCCTGCCGGGCACACAGTAGGTCTGGTCTGTGTGGATGATCGACCCCATCACCTGCCTTAGTCTGGATGCCAGGACAGGATTTTGTAGTCTGTGCAAAGTAATGACACTGGTCTCCAGTTTTTTAGATCCTGAAGGTCGCCTTTCTTTGGCAGCAGAGTGATGACTGCTCTCCTGCAGCTCAGAGGCAGACGACCCCTCTCCAAACTGTCTCTTAAAACCTCCAGGAGATCCTCTCCCAGCACACTCCAAAACACTTTATAAAAGTCAACAGGAAGGCCATCAATACCTGGAGCTTTTTCATTCTGCAGACTCATAGCAGCAGAGTAGAGTTCAGACAGAGACAGCTGGGCCTCAAGCTCTGTGTTGTTTTCAGCGCTGACTTGAGGAAGACCAGTGTAGAAGGACTCACACACCTCTGGACGATCAACAAACTCACTCGTGTACAGATCCTTATAAAAACCAGCTGCATGTTTTCTGATCCCAGCAGAATCTGAGATCGATTGTCCACTGTTTGATCGTACAGAGTGAAAGATCTTCTTCTGTCCACTTTTCTTCTCCAGACCAAAAAAGAACTGAGACGGAGCATCCATCTGCGTGACATCCAGGAACCGAGACCTGACCAGAGCCCCCTGTGCTTTAACGCCCAGCAGGTTGGCTAAAGCCGACTTTTTAGATTTTAGGGAAGCTAAATGTCCCTGATTTCCTGTGGCATCAACTAAACCCTGTAGTTCTACCACTTCAATCTCTAGATCTCTCAAAGATCTGCTAATGCTGACTGTTTAATCTGACTTTTTCCAAAGTCCCACCACTGCTGAATGGTTTTAAAATCAGACTTAAGCTGTCTGTGAGTGACCCAAAAGTACTCCAGTGCAGACTTAAAAGCTTTATCGTGCAGCAGTATGGTGTTAAAATGCCAATACGCACTTTGAAGTCTGACATTCTTAATAAAAACAGAACAATAAATGAGACAGTGATCAGTGAAGCCTACAGGAACAATAAGACACTCTTTAAAAACATTCATGTTGTGTTTAAAACAATAAAAGCGATCCAGCCTGGCCAGAGATAAAACATTGTCTTTAGAGTGACTCCATGTGTACTGTCTGTGTGTGTGGTGTAAACTCCTCCACACGTCCAGCAGCTCGTGTGTTTCTAAAAACTGTCTGAGTCTGTGTGAGGAGGCGCTGTGAGGCTCTTGGTGGTTTCTATCTAAACCTGGGTTTGCTGTACAGTTAAAATCCCCCCCCAAGAATAAATACTCCCCTGTGTTGCCCTTTTTAACAGTGTCACACAAAACACTCAACACACCCAATCTGTCCACAGTGTGACATGGGACATACACATTAATCAGAGTCATTTTTACATTTTCATACTGCACTCTAATTTTCAATAAACAGCCTTCAATGACCTCCTCTACTTCACACGAAGCAGGCAGAAAGCCTCTAGAAAAAATAAAGCCGACTCCTCCACTACAGGTGGACTTATGGCTGAGGATCACCTCCCCAGGCCACTCCTTCCTGACACTCGTTCTCAGAGTCACTGTGTGACTCCTGAAACATTAAAATATCTAACTTTTTGAACTCCATTAGTTGAAATAGTGCAGCTCTTTTTGCATCATCTCTCGCTCCATTTAAATTTAAGGTGCCAATTTTAAATTCACACATTGAGAGATAGGAGTTTAAAAAAGAAACAAGATAAAAACACAACAAGAGGAAAGAGATGAGACACAGTCTAAACATCATCATCGCTGATTTGTGCTTTCGCTTTCCCGATCAGTTTTTTGAGACGAAAGATCTCTTGACCGGTGAGGCCGTCGTCCCCAAAAGCACCGGAGCTCCTAGTTAAAGGTCGAGCTGAACTTAAAAAACACTTCAGGTCTGGAAAGAAATCCTCTAAATTGAGCAGCCTGAGGCCCTTGGTGTCCTGTAGAAACTTTTTAATGTGAGCTGAGGTGTAAGTGACTGGACCTTCTTCTTGTGTGGACATGAGCTCACTGTCACTCTCTGCTCTTCCTGCTCCTGTCTTTCTGTCCTTCTTCAACTGCTTTAGTACTGTCCTGAAAGCTTTCACTCTTCCTTTTCTGAGAAATCTTTAATGACTTTTCATCAGACATATCCTCATCTTCAACATAATCAACACACACACTATTATTACTTTCCTGACTTACCTCCTGACTTTCACTGATCAAACTTTTTTCTTTCTCACTTGAATCACATTCAGTTATCTCCTTTTCTTTGTCTCCCTGTTTACTGTTCTTTACCTGGCCCTCATCACTGACCACTGACAGCTCTTCTACATCAGACACTTTACTTTTCTGAGGCCCAGCAGCAGCTCTGTCTGAAAGAACTCCGCTAGGACCCGCTACAGCGGCCTCAGCTCCGCCGAGCACCGCGACAGCTCCGCTGAGCTCCGCGGCGGCAGCATCGACCGGTACCGCGTCTGCAGACGGCCCGGGGGTCAAAGCAGACGGCCCGGGGGTCACAGCAGACGGCCCGGGGGTCACAGCAGACAGACCGGGGGTCACAGCAGACAGACCGGGGGTCACAGCAGACGGCCCAGGGGTCACAGCAGACAGACCGGGGGTCACAGCAGACAGACCGGGGGTCACAGCAGACGGCCCGGGGGTCACAGCAGACAGACCGGGGGTCACAGCAGACGGCCCGGGGGTCACAGCAGACAGACCGGGGGTCACAGCAGACGGCCCGGGGTACACAGCAGACGGCCCGGGGGTCACAGCAGCCGCTGTGACCCCCGGGCCGCTGTGACCTCAGCAGCCGGTGCTGCCTGAGCATTTCCCCGCACATGAACATTTTTTTCGGGGCATGAGCGGATTAAATGTCCCTCTGCACCACACCCAAAGCACTTCATGGTCCCTGATGTTGCAAACACCATGTAATTAAAACCATCGACTTTGAAATTAAAAGACAAATTAAGATCATCCGAGTTGTTTTTCATGACCATGAAAACTTGTCTTCTGTGACAAACAACGTGTTTGAGCAGGGGGGACTTGCATCCCAGAGACACCATCTTAACCTGGGACACTACCTGCCCATACCTGCACAGCTCTTTAACTGACATTTCATTTTTAATGAACGGGGGGGCGTTAGAGATGGTGACTCTTTTAGCCAGGTTGATCAGGGGGAGAACAGAGGTGAAGGTGTCTTTAATTATTACACCTTGTTCGACCACATCGTTCACTTTAGCCGTGCTATCTAAAAAAATAACAATGGCCCCGTTCATGCGGGAGGCAGACCTCACGCTGCCGTAACCCACCACCTCTCCAACCGCTAAACTAGCCTCCTCCACCGAGCAGCTGACAGCTGTCAGCTTCTCAAAGTCCAGCTCCATGTCTACGACGGGCATGCTGCCCAGCCGAGCTGGTAGACAAACAACTAAATAACAACAAACTACTAAACACAAACTATGTTAACCAAAGAAAGAAAAATAACACACAAACATTCAACTCACGACGAAGCTCACGCTGCCACTCACAATCCACTCAGAGAGAGAGAGAGAGAGAGAGAGAGAGAGACCTGAAGCTCCCCAAGGCTTCCTACAGACCTTGATATATTTAGTGTAAACTCAGCATGTTGTGTGAACACCTGCAGTGTGATTTGATCAGATCAGCTGCTCCCTTTGACTATTTTCTGTGTAAACAAAACCAGCTGCAGCTGCTCTGGTGAGAGTAGCCAGTCGGTCTTCATGCTGCAGCATCGCCTCCGTGCTGCGGCCTGAAGCACCAAGACCTTCTTCAGGCCCATGAAGCACTCAGGCGAATGATCCTAGGGTCTGTAATCTCGGTGTTTTCACATCCTTAAGGAATGTGATCATGCGTTTGTTTCACTTCCACTGTGACTCAAGTCCTCTCAGCTTCTCTTCTGACAATAACTTGAACTTCCATTCAGTCACCAGTTCATCTGTAGCTACAGGAACAGTTTGATGTTGGAATAACACAAACAGCTCATTGCTTCAATTCTCAGGAGGAATATTTTGTTTATTTGTGTGTGTGTGTGTGTGTGTGTGTGTGTGTGGAGTTACATGTATGAACCCACCTCTCTGACTGATGTATTCTCCTGGTTCACAGCGTCTGTGTTTCTTTGCTTCAAAACAGTCGTACCCTGGAAACTCTGAGCAGTAAAATCCTTCCAGAGGTTCACAAACTGTGTCTGATCGTATCGTACACGACGTCTTCATCTTCAGACCAGAACCTGTCAACACAAAGATAAATACAGACATACTCGACTGCTTTAAGACTAAACAGCAACATGATGAATCTGACTATTTAAAACACCTTCAAGGTGTAAACTCAAAGGAAAACATCTGAACCAATGAGAGATTCAGATTTAAGGTTTGCTCTAAAAACAAACTGAAAAAACAGGAAATACAGAGAACAACACTCCAGCTGCAGTTTCCTCTTCAAGGACTCAGTAATAAAACTTCAACATAAACATTAGTTTACCTGCTCCACATTCTCTGCAGGGAAAACATTTTTTTAGTCTGTTCATTTTATTCATGAAAGTCCCCTCTGTGCACGGCTGACAGGATGTACTTTTGTCCTCCTCACAGTCTGTTTTAACTCGATTTCCTGTTGAAAAGACAAAACTTTAATGTCATGCAATCTGGAAACAGACATTGTTGGATTTCAAAGATCTCAACGTGTTTTATATAACAACATGCTCTCTGAGACCTTCGCTAATAATCAGATAGTTCCACAGGGGTCTGTCCTGGGTCCACTGTTACTTTCACTCAGATTTGTGTTTTTCTTCTGGAATGCGATTCATCCCAATGCAGATGATTTGCAGTTGTACATGACAGTAGTCTTAGTGAGGGGGTTGATACAGTTAAAGTTGAGGCCTGTCTGGCCACTCTTAGAAGCTGCACTTATTTGTCAACATCAGAGGTTGCCGCTTTGTCTCAGACAATCGCGGTGGACATTTTGTGTTACGACAACAAAAACCTCAAATTATCATAAGTTGCTTCGTAACTTTTTATTTTATTTCAGGCAGCAACAGCCAGGCAGCAACAGTCAGAAATCCTGGAGGGACAGATTGACGATCTTACCGCTGGGACACATCGGACAGCACGCGTCTCCAAACAGATATTCTGTCCAATGGCAGGTGGGGGTTTGACTTACGAATATATTCATCATAAAAATCTGTGACGAGAAAAAGAAACATCAGAAACATTCCTGTGGTGATGAAGCCGATCAGGAGTTTGAGGTTATCTTTAAACTGCTCTGAATGTGGGATGATGGAGGCTGCTGAAATAAGACACTTGGTGTTTACACCTCTGACACTTCACCTTCCCACTCAGAGGAATCTCTAAACCACATGTGCTTTTTCTTTAAAGGTTCAACCTTTCCTACACCTTCTCTCCACCCACAGAGGGAAAAACCAATCAGAAGATGAGATGTAGCTTTCAGTGAACAGAGTAATACAGTCCTTCAGGGGAAAGATCACAAAGACAGAAGTGTTGAAGATGAGGAGGAACAAGTGAAGATCATTTACCAGCAATAAAGCCGTGAACCGAGGATTTCTTCTGAACTTCATTTTAATCAAAGTTTTCTGGGGCTGAAGACGTCATCTCACTCAGATTAAGGAACAAAGAGAAATAAAATCCCTGACGACGATATCACCTGAACGCAGATAGAGAAATGCAGAAATTAAACACCGCTGTGAACATGATCACCTTTATAGAGTACGCGCGGAACAGCAGTTCTTCAATCTGTGTTCCCACACGGACCGCAAAGCGGGAGCACACCTCAGGGTGGAGGAAGTTAGTAGTTAAAGTTCAAACATAAACTGTGCAGATTACTAGTTCCTGGAGTCCTGTCGGTTTACATATAACCGGGATGGAGTTCTTTTTACAGACTGACTCCAAAGTGTCGTTTTCATTTTCAGCGCTCCAGCAGCGCTGCGGTGCAAAAGGGGAGCATAACCTGCAGCATGATAGAATGAACACCTTCCCTTACAGACAGCCAGCCTTTTGATAGTAATTCTGAACGGGCCAAAGCCACAACAAATGCCATTGAAGTTCTTATATCGACAGAGGGAAATATTAATAGTTCTGTGATGAAACTGTCCCAGATGTGATTAAGGTTAATTATGTGCTCAAAGGGCATTCAAAAAACTGTTGCCTTCATAAACAGAAAGGTGTCACTGTAATTTAAAAGAAATATTTTTACATATATATATATATATATATATATATATATATATATATATATATTAATTACTTCATTTCATTCTAAAATACTTTATTTCATTTATATCTTTTATTTATTGGAGACTCTTTTGGTTGAAGGATGCAGCATAAGTTCATTTTTTATTTTTTTTTACAATGTTTAATTTAAAATGTTATTAAAAAGTAACCTGAGCAGGTGTACAAGTCTGAACTGTCGATGCTACACTTAGCCCAATGTGTAAAAGGGAAATTCTAAATGTTCCTAATAAAGAAAAAAAGTGATGCATCAGGTCCCTTTACTGTACCGAAAGAATGTACCGAACCGAAACTTCAAAACTTGGAACAGTACCGAACCGAAATTTTTGTGTACCGTTACACCCCTAATGCATGCGAGCCACTTCCTGTTGACCTAAACGTTACAGCAACAACAAACTCTCTGGAGGCATTCAAACAAAGATGGCATACGAGGAGATGGACGACACTACAGCTACGTACATTATTTACATTCTAATAATTCATATTACAAGAACAGCGGATCTTTTGGCTGCGGCGATAACAACAGAAGGAAACAACACTTCTATTTATTACGTCATCTCCTTCCACTTCTGGGTGAAATTCTCGAGCATGCGCAGAACGCAAAAGACTTATCGAGGTGTTCTTTTCCGATGATGAGATGTTCGTTATGGTCTGATGTAGGTCGGACTAAGATGTTTACATGCATTTGAAAAGTCCAAACAGTGTTGATGTGGTTTCCTCTGTTGTTGTTGATATGTTTGATGATGAACAAATTCACCGTTGACACTGACTTGCTTTCAAAAAGGATTATTTAATAACAATATACAGCATCTCCAGGCTCGCCATGGTTCGACCTGGGAGAGTCACAAAGCCAAAAGTGATCTCTCCCGAACACACAGAAACTCTGGTATTTATGGACATCTTCTTCCTGTCCCCGGGCAACTCTCTGGACACAGGGGTCCCATTGTACACATTCCACTGTGGGGGCTCCTGTCTTAGATTTAGGATTTCTGGTCATCACCAGTCTCAGATATAATTATTTCTAGATGTGTGCGTTATACAACTTAAAGTAGCAGTATATTATCTCTGTCCTAGATATTTAAGACACTTCAGCGTCTGATACGATCAGAAATCTGAATATCTAGCACCATGTAACCCTACTGAGAGACTTCACTCTCTGCTAGTCTCAATTAAACCCAATTAACTCCACAAGCTCCTCCCCTTCCCAGATCCAATGAACTTAAAGCTGTTTCAATTAATCTCCTACATCCAAATTATACATTTTAATGTAAATATTGAAACACTTAACTTATTAAATTACTTTAAATAATGAAAAAACCTCTTATATTTAAATCATTTAAACATGAAGACTGTCCACATACAAACCCAAAATATTACAAAGTGAACCACAATTAGAACATGAAAAGCAATAAGGCTCCTACAGTATTAAATCAGAGTTGAGCTCTTACCCTGCAGAAGATTCAGACTCCTTCAGAGCTGAACTTCCTGTTTCTGTCCAAACACTCTCAGTTTAAACAGTGGGAGGATTCATGTGACTTACTTCCACATGAATCAACATGAGGATGACCACTCTCTGTCTCTCTCTCTCTCTCTCACTCTCTCACTCTCTGTCTCTATCTATCTCTCTCTCTCTCACTCTCTGTCTCTCCCTCTCTCTCTCTCACTCTCTGTCTCTCTCTCTCTGTCTCTCTCTCTCACTCTCTGTCTCTCTCACTCTCTCTCTCTCTCTCTCTCTCACTCTCTCTCTCTCACTCTGTCTCTATCTCTCTCACTCTCTCTCTGTGTCTCTCTCACTCTCTGTCTCTCTCTTTCTCTCTCTCTCTCTCTCTGTCGCTCTGTCTCTCTCTCTGTCTCACTCTCTGTCTCTCTCTTTCTCTCTCTCTCTCTCTGTCGCTCTGTCTCTCTCTCTCTCTCACTCTCTGTCTCTCTCTCTCTCTCTGTCGCTCTGTCTCTCTCTCTCTGTCTCTCTCTTCTCTCTCTCTCTCTCTCTCGCTCTGTCTCTCTCACTCTCTCACTCTCTCTCACTCTCTGTCTCTCCCTCTCTCTCTTCTTCCTCTCTCTCTCTCTCTGTCTCTCTCTCTCTCTCTCACTCTCTGTCTCTCACTCTCTCTCACTCTCTGTCTCTCTCTGTCTCTCCCTCTCTCTCTCTCTTCTCTCTCTCTCTCTCTCTGTCTCTCTCTCTCTCTCACTCTCTGTCTCTCTCTCTCTCACTCTCTGTCTCTCTCTGTCTCTCCCTCTCTCTCTGTCTCCCTCTCTCTCTCACTCTCTGTCTCTCCCTCTCTCTCTCTCTGTCTCTCTCTGTCTCCCTCTCTCTCTCACTCTCCCTCTCTCTCTCTCACTCTCTGTCTCTCCCTCTCTCTCTCTCTCTCTCTGTCTCTCTCTCTCTCTGTCTCTCTCTCACTCTCTGTCTCTCTCTCTCTCTCTGTCTCTCTCTCTCTTCCTCTCTCTGTCTCTCTCTCTCACTCTCTGTCTCTCTCTCTCACTCTCTGTCTCTCTCTCTCTCTCCCTCTCTCTCTCTCTCTGTCTCTCCTCTCTCTCTCTCACTCTCTGTCTCTCTCTCTCTCTCTGTGTCTCTCTCCCTCTCTCACTCTCTGTCTCTCTCTGTCTCCCTCTCTCTCTCACTCTCTCCTCTCTCTCTCTCACTCTCTGTCTCTCCCTCTCTCTCTCTATTTCTCTCTCTCTCTCTGTCTCTCCCTCTCTCTCTCCCTCTCACTCTCTCTCTCTTTCTGTCTCTCTCACTCTCTGTCTCTCTCTCTCTCTCTCTCTCACTCTCTGTCTCTCTCTCTCTCTCACTCTCTCTCTCTTTCTGTCTCTCTCTCTCTCACACTCTCTGTCTCTCTCTGTCTCTCTCTCTCTCTGTCTCTCTTCCTCTCTCTCTCTCCCTCTATCTCCCTTTAAACTGAAACACTTCTCTCTTTTATCTTTAATGAAGCCAAAGAGAGCATGGTTACATTTTAATCATCATTTATCCCTGAGAGGTCACCACAATGATCACAATACTAACTCTTCTGTCAGTGAGCATGAATCTGTGGTTTCAAGACAAACATTTCTCTAAAATAAATACAAAAATTCTCAATCCTCTGAAATAATTTGAACCCCTGCAGCTGATTCAGTTCAGTGTTTGTCACTAGCGTCGAGTCTGTTCCAGCTTTGTCTGAATATTTCCATTTAACGAGACGAAAAACCTTCCAGAAAAGATTCGCCATTTCTCGGTAAAACACCGGAACATACATGAAACTTGTCGCACTTACACCGGAAGACTTTAACATACTAACAACAGACTGTAACAGAGTTTTAACCTGCTCTGTGTGACTCATTTTAAAGAAATGTGAAGAGAAAAAACTGCTACGTACCTCGTTACATGGAGACAAGAGACTGTACATAAAGAGGCGGAGCGTCAGGATATAAATGAGACTGTAAAATAGAGGAAGACGGCAGGTCGGAAAACCAGAAACCAACCTGTGACTGAAAGCTTTCAGTTGCTTTTTCTCCTCATCGAGACAGAAACATGTCTGCAGAAGTTTCTCTTTATTATTCTTCACTTTGCTTTATTGTCTCATGACATGCAGCTCGTGTGTTTCTCTTCAGCTTTATATTTGATTCTGTCATGTTGGGTTCACTTTGAATCTTATTATTCTGATGTTGCTCTTTATCTGTTCTCTCTTTATTCTTCTGTCTGCTTCTGAAGCTCTGTGAATATCATTTAAAACATTTGAGCAGGTTTCATGATCAGCTCCTAAACGAGACTTCAGGACCAGAAAGAAGACCAGCATGAGGTTCAAACTACTTCTCTTTCTAGGTGTTAGAAAACAAATTTGAAAAAGCACAACGTGAAACTGAAAGGTGATGCAAAATGATGTTTGACTAAAAACAGCTAAACCACAAACTCAACATCTTCTGCTCAGTTTCACGTACACCAGGACCTCGGGGTGAATCAAAAAAAAACACCACTTCCTGTCACAACATGATTCACATGTAGTCTATAAACTGTTCTGTGCTCGTCGTGTGTCTTCATGGTGCAGCTTCAGAAAGATGACGAGGTGACTGTGAGAATAAAAAGAAAGTTTTTTAATATTATTCTCTTTGTTTCTGTTCACTCCTCTTTATTATTCATGTTAATGCTCATTTATATATGAGGTGCAGAAACTAGTCATCTATTAGTTTTAAATGAGGTGTTGTAAAAACACCAACAGTATCATCAAGGGAACATGGAAAGTCCCTGACTGGTGGAAAACGTTGCAGATCACAGACTGTAGAACAAATCATTATAAAACTGTAGGAACACATTTCTCTGCTGTGTTTATGAGGGTGTATTGATTTCTGACCTCACTTACATGCTGTGATGCGTTTCCTCCACCAGGGGGATGTAGCTCAGTGGTAGAGCGCATGCTTTGCATGTATGAGGCCCCGGGTTCAATCCCCGGCATCTCCACGTTTTGGGCTGAAAATACAGAATCACATTCAGATAGGAATATAAAAAAACAAGAATATTATTAAATACATGTTAATAATGTAAACTTCCTCAGTAACCTGGTTAAACTGTGTGTTGACATCATCCTGATCTAATGATGAGCAACTCCGCAAACGTCAATCAATAAGGTGTTTATATTTATTATTTTTAGCCTTTTCTATATTTATTATTTTCTTTTTCAATTAAAAACATCGGAGGATGTTTGAATGGACTTAGTTATAAATTTAATTATTAAAAGTTGTTTTCGTTCTGTATTCAGAGAGGAAGAAAACATGGACAAAAATCTCCTTCACGTTTCTACTTTAATTTTTATTCTAGCTGCTGAAACACCTGAAACCGTCTTCTTCGTGTGTTTCTGACTGCAGGTGAGCACTCCCACACCTCTCCAGAAAGCGTCAGGTGTTTCTCTCCCTGTGATTGGCCTGTTCATCTTTTCATGTTGGTTTCATGTTGTGCATATTTACCTCGAAATCACATTCATCTCGTCATAAAATTATAATCCAGGGATCCAAACTACCCGGGATTTACTCTAAATGAAAATGTATAAGAATAAACGGCGGGCTCCACCTTGTGGCAGTCATGTGATAGGTTTGCCTCCGGATATCAAACATCCCGCCTTCATAATAAAAGCTTTGAGCCTACATCTCTGACGACTCCAACTTTACTTCAGGTTTAAAATAACAGAATTATTATTTTAAGGAATAATCTCCAAAGTTCAGGTAATTTAAGAACTCTGCTACTACGCTGATATACTCTGCTGAATAAAGCCAGCCCGAAAAAGCATATTTTGGGGAAACATTAAGACTATACCCACTTCTTCAGGCACCTCTGGTACTACCTGGAGCTCGCATCAACACAGCCTGGGTCTGTTGAAGGAGGTTTTAATGGACCCTACTCACAGCGTTTGTTGTTGTTGTATTCTGTTTGTTGTTTTTGGAATGATGTCATGTTACTGTCAGTACTGGCTTGTGTAATTTGCTGACTGTTTGATTTAAAAAAAATACTTTGAAAGTCCAGACCGGAAGTTGAATCGGTAGTGTTCTCGCTCTCTCTACACCTGTTTCTTGTTTGAAGCGGCTCTCTGCGTACTCGCGCTCCATTCATCGTTCTACTGTTTTTACCGGAGTCCGCGCCTCGAGGTGTCCGTTTGAGGTGCTCTACGGGCCGGTATGTCAGGCTCTACACCCCCGCCTCCCTCTGTGGAGGCTGCGGGCACTGAGGGATGCTTTCCCCCCGAATACAAACCCTTCAAACCCGAGGAGCATGGCCTGGAGCGCGGGTTCCGGCTCACAGGCTTCTCGGACCTGAAGGGATGAGGCTGTAAGGTCCCGCAGGAGGCTCTGCTCAAACTCCTGCAGGGACTGGAAGCGGACCGGGCCGACGGGACAGGGAAGGCCGGAGACCAAGCATCGGAGTTCGGCCAACAGCTTCCCGCCCCCCGGCTCGGTAAAGTTGGCAGAATCAGCCTTCATATCCTGGACATGCTGTCAGAAACGTTACCGGTGTTATGGCTCAACAAGTGACCCTGTTAACTGGTGACTTTCGGCCAAAGAAGGTTGTGGTTGTCGTAGTTACAACGGTTACATATACATATATATAATGTGTTTATTTTGATATTATAACTAAAAAACTAAATAGAAAGGCAGCTCTACGACAGCTACTTGTCTTATTTTTGATCTTCTTTAGCTGTTGTAACAACGAAAACTACGGACGCATCCGGCTGAAAGCCACCAATTAACACGGTTGCTCGTTCAACCAAAACACCGGTTTCAGCTAGCTTGTTAGCATCGTTGCAGCTAACCATGCTAGCTTATGCTCACTCATTTGACAGATGGCACTTGTCGAGAAGTATAAACTGTTTAATATTAAAAGTACACCTTCCTCTATAACATTTGTTTACATACTTTACTTACAAACAGCCCTACGTCACCAGTTAGCTTAGCATACATGGATTTAATCGATAATAGAAGCTAGCTCAGAGGTATGTCACAGAACCGGTCTGAGTGATTCAGCAGAAATGTTTGAGGAGCTTTTAGTTCAAAGTTCAAGCTGTTGGTGAATAATTTCTTCTGTTTCACAATAACGAGTGGAAACGTGTTCTCAGTTTACAGACTGTTGGAGGGTTACCTGGAAATCATTCATCCAGGTGTACACTTACCAAAGATCGCATATTGAACAGGTGGTCACGATACCAGATTTGAAAAAGCGCGATACGATTGTGGGGAAGATCAAACTACGTCGAGACCGGAAGAAGTCTTACACATTGTGCAGTGATTTCATGTTTATATTCACTGAATACATTTCTGGCAAACTCCCACAAAACTCTGTAAAACGTTCAATACTGTCATTCTTATCAATACCACATGTTTAAACATCATATATCTCTTATTTTAATGATCCATAGAATCAAAAAGTACCAAAGCTTTCATAAAGTTGTTTTTTAATCGTAAAGATGTTGCGAGCAAAAGAGAGAGAACTGTCTAGCTGCACAAATACATTCACGCCATATTGTTTTTACTTGATTTTTCTGCAATATTTAATCCATTCAATTCATACATTAAAGAGCCCATATTATGCCCTTTTTGGGGTTCGTATATTTAATCTATGTATCTACTTTTGTACGTTCACAATAGCTAAAGTCCGAAAAAAGGGTCTGTTTTCATGTACTGCTCCTCCTTGCTCCCTCTCTGCTCTGAGTCCATCAGCTACACTCTGTTGAGCCCACACTGTTAGACCCCACGTGGGCCAAGTCTGCTCTGATTGGTCTGCCGATCCGCTCTGTCGTTATTGGTCAGTTGCTCAGCACGCTAATCGGAAACATGAGCTGCTGGGCTTGCCACAATGAGCCAATGGGCTTAGATCAGTGATCTCACACTGACAATGACGCCGCACTGACAAATTTTTATCGAGGGGGGCTAGAACTGAGCGTTACATGCAGCTAATGCTACAGCTAACAGGAGGAGGTAGGAGAAGCCTACCTGAATTTTTGCTTATAGATGTGCCTAAACATGCACAGGACCCATGGAAAACACACTAAAGAGCATATAAAACCAGAAAAAGCATAACATGGGACCTTTAAAGGAGCAGTATGTAACTCTGACACCTAGTGTTTAAAATGAGTACTGCAGTCTAAATTCTAAACATTGTAGAGAGCTGTTTCCCCTCCTCTCTAGAGTCCATGCTCACACAGGTTGCCATGTGGTGGACACTGGGGGGGTGTCTTAAAACCGCCTACCTTCTCTGGTCCAAACAAATCCAGAGCATTCAGGACCAGCATGTTTCCTTAATGTCTGATCATATAGTAAGGTCACTTTATCATTTCACTCACTACACATCTCACTGATTGGACCTTTGAGATAACAGATTATGTTTTTGAAAATGTGGTATCATTAAGACTTTGACAACCTTATACTGAAGTGAAACAGATCTTTATTTGTTCTATCCGTAAAAGACAACAGTGACACACCTACTAAAAGATTCTCTGTAATCTTAGCCCTTTAGATAAATATATTCATCTGTATCCCCTCCGTCCTCGCTCTGCTGTTTCTGCAGGTGTTGGGATGGACTGCTGTGTGATCCCTCTGAGGCATGGAGGACTCTCTCTGGTGCAGACCACCGACTTCTTCTACCCCCTGGTGGAAGACCCCTACATGATGGTAAGACACTGACAGCTGTTTCTCTCTGTGAAGCACACACACACACACATACACACGGCCCGCTGCTGTTAGCCAGGAGAAGTGAGGTTGTCCAAACACAGAGACGTGAGAGGGGATGAACTCGTACAGTGAACATGGGCGGGTCTAGATCACACCACACATGGAGAGTTTGATGAAAATAGTTTAGGAGCGTGAATATTAAAAATATACTGCTGACATTTACTGACCTCATAGACAACGCGACTGCATTATCGTGATCTATACGTCTAAATTGTTACGTTTTATACATTTTTCTTTGAACCGTGATGACAGTAAATCACTTCCATATAAATACCAATGATGACGGTATGCTAGTAGCAAAGCTAACAAGGTAGCCTGGCCTCTCGTAGTCAGACAGAATAATCGATAGCAGAAAGAGTGAGATCCCGCCTGGACCCATCATAGAAACCTTCACCTTGAGGAAATACTTTTTATTTATAATCTGTTGATATCAACACGGCATTAACTATTTCTACCGTCATATGTGATTGGTGAAGTCGTCGACTGTTCAGGACGATCTACAGTCAGCCTGAAGGATGCTCAGGATGCAGAAAAGTTTGATCCCTGCTTGAATATCCTCCTGAAATACAAAGATATTTAATATGAAGACAACTCGTTTTGAACTTTTTTTCCCCTAAAATTAACTTTCTCCCTCTCTCTCCCCCCCTCCTCTCTCTCTCTCTCTCTCTCTCTCTCTCTCTCTCTCTCTCTCTGTGTCTCTCTCTCCCTCTCTCTGTCTCTCTCTCTATTTCTCTCTCTCTCTCTCTCTCTCTCTCTCTATTTCTCTCTGTCTCTCTGTCTCGCTCTCTCTCTCAGGGCAGGATAGCGTGTGCTAACGTCCTCAGCGACCTCTATGCGATGGGCATCACAGAGTGCGACAACATGCTGATGCTGCTGAGTGTCAGCCAGAAGATGAACGAGAAGGTAACACGATGACATCAACACCGCTTTGTTGAGTTTACGTCTTTTTTTTTAACCTCGAAACATCTGAAACATTCTGCATGTAACAGTGAATGCCTTTGCCCGTGTGGCGTCCGTTTGTTTGTGTTGTTGTGCGTTCTGACTTCTCCATCTTTGTTATTGTTTTATGTGTTTGTGACGCAGGACCGTGAGCGTGTGATGCCGTTGATGATTCGTGGGTTTCGGGATGCGGCGGAGGAGGGCGGGACTTCAGTGACGGGCGGTCAGACGGTGATCAACCCGTGGATCATCGTGGGAGGAGTGGCGTCGGTCGTCTGTCAGCCCAACGAGTTCATCATGTGAGTCTGAGAGGATGAAACCGGTCTACATGTTAAGTGTTGAGATCAGCTTGAGATTTCCCAGAATGCTTTTCATCAGAGTGTGTTCGTCCTGGTTATTTCAGCCAGCAGCGTGTAGAGATAATTATATCCTGGTAAGTGACGGCGTGTTGTTGGTGACAGCCTCTGACCCTCTGCTCGTCTCACTCTGACCACGCCCTCATTTATAACCATTTTAACAGATCCCTTTTTTAAACGTGCAGTATTTCTTCATCCTGATTAAAATTTGACGAGAGATTCACGCCTAACGGGGACACTGAAGGCGGTTTCACATCAGGGACCCGCCCCCCGGATCTGAGTACGCTTGACCCCCAAAGTGCGGTTCATTTGATCAGTGTGAACACAATCGTGCTCAAAAAGTGGACCGCTTTATGACGTCATCCTAAACGGCCCCTGTAGCTTGAAAAAATCGCTCGCTAGAGACGCTTATTAGTGTTTGATAAACAGGATGTGGATTTTACTTCATATGGGACATTTGAATTTAAATGTGATTCACATGTTAACCAGGTGAATTGCTGTATTTTGAAGCTGGTTAACCTGCACATCTTGACATTAACGGTTTTGTTTCAGGCCGGACGGCGCCGTGCCGGGTGACGTACTGGTCCTGACTAAACCTCTGGGGACGCAGGTCGCCGTGAACGCTCACCAGTGGCTCGATCAGGTCGACTCCGCTCACATCGACATCATTTAAAGTTCCATTTATTCTGAATATTTCAGCACTTATTGTCTCTGTTTTTTATTGAACAGCCTGAAAGGTGGAACAAGATCAAGCTGGTCATCACCAAAGAGGAAGTGAAAGAGGCCTATCAGGAAGCCATGTTCTCCATGGCAACGCTAAACCGCACAGGTACGCTCTGACGTCTCTGTCCTGGGTCCTCTCTTGAACTGCTCTCCGTCCAGTTTGAATGTTTTTTTGACTCTTTCTTCTTCACGTGTTTTGTCCCCAGCGGCCGGCCTGATGCACAAGTTCCAGGCGCACGCCGCCACAGACGTGACGGGTTTCGGGTTGTTGGGACACGCCAACAACCTGGCAGCACAGCAACGTAACGAGGTGGCCTTCGTTATCCACAACCTGCCAATCTTAGCCAAGATGGCAGCCATCAGCAAGGCCTGCGGGAACCTGTTCAACCTGGTTCAGGGAACGTCAGCAGAGACTTCAGGTACACACACCATCAGATCCAGATGTTTCTGAGAGGCGTGTTGAGAGTCATCTGACTTCCTGTTGTGCTGAAGATGAACAACCATTTGACACGCCTCTATCTCGCTCTCTAACGTGCACGGCTCATGTTCACTCCCCACGTCTACACCGTCAAAAGGGGCGCTGGTGGTACAGTGGTGTAGTGGTTAGTGTGCACGCCCCATGTATTGAGGCTATGCTCCTCCAAGCGGGCGGCCCAGGTTCAAATCCAGCCTGTGGCTCCTCTCCTGCATGTTGCTCCCCACTCTCTCTCTCCCTGATTCCGACTCTATCCGCTGTCCTATCTCTCCATTAAAGGCACAAAAAGCCCCCCAAAAAATTTATCTTAAATCTTACATCGTCAAATCGTCCCGCCTGTCGTCCTCCATGTTTGTTTCCTCTGACGTCTCATGTGACGGTGAGAGATTCAGTGAGATCTCCAGAGTTCAGAGTCAGGATTCTGTGAGTGTGTTTGAGTCTGATCGTTCTTTACGCACTACAACAACCTTTCCCGAACTTTCCCCAAGAGGGGTCGCGGATCAGACGAGTAAAATTCCTAAATTTGACTAAATGACTAATTATTATTCTTGATTAAAATAGAATAGATTAAAACGCGCCCTCTGACTCGACCTCCCACTGGGGAGCGAGAGAGAGAGCGTCACCGTGTGTCCATGAATGAATGACTTTGACCTTTGACCTTTTGTTCTGACTAAAGTTTTAAAGATAAATTCACGATGACCTCGTTTCTCGGTCTCCAGGCGGTCTGCTGGTGTGTTTACCCAGAGAGCAGGCGGCAAAGTTCTGCTCGGAGATGAAGAGTCAGAGCGGCAACGCCGGAGGTCAGGGGCCAGCGGGCGGAGCCTGGATCATCGGGATTGTAGAGAAAGGCGACCGACGCGCTCGCATCATCGACAAGCCTCGCATCATCGAGGTTCCTCCACGGGGAAGTCAGGCGGCCAATCAGGACAACAACAGCCCAGCTCCGAGCCCCAACCTGTCATAGTGTGTGTGTGTGTGTGTGTGTGTGTGTGTGTGTGTGTGTGTGTGTGTGTGTGGATCAGAACGACCTCTTTATCGGCTGTGAATGAACTTCGATTATGATTATTTATCCAACAAGACAAATTTCAACAATTTATGAATTAAATTGAAATTCAGGGTTTTGTGTTACTAACCGACCTCCTCCCTTTTTTTATTTAGACCTGCCCTCCGTTTGAATCCAAACAAACACATGACTTTAATTTATTCAAATGTGAAAAGGTTATTCCAACTTCTCCAAACAAACATTCCAGAAGCTTCTTAAAAAGAAGACTTGGAGTTTACGGGTGTGTGTGCGTGTGCGTGCGTGCGTGTGTGTGTTTGTGCGTGTGTGTGTGTGTTTTATCATTGACGGGGTGCTGTGTGTCAGAGGTGGACGATGTCAACATCTCATGTTGGTGAATGTACCTGATGAAAAGAATCAATCGGTCTTGGCTCCGCCCTCAGAGTCCAGAGGAAGGCTTGAGCAGCTTCTTCTGGTCCTGCTGGGCGGAGTTCAGACCCTCCATCTTGCGGCTGATTGGCTGTCCAGCACAAAGTCCCTCCCCCCCTTTTCCTGTGTATGAAGCTCCACCTTTTAAACCCCAGCCAGTGGGGGCGGGTGGAGCAGATGTTTGCCTTTGGATCGGGGTTGGACTCAGACTGCTGGAGGGCTGCAGCCGTCTCTGTTTGTAGATTTCTGCTTTTCACAATCAATAAAACCATCATCGACTCCGACTGGCGCTCTGTGTGGCTCTTCTGTTTACTTACAGCGTCTTCATGTGTCATGAAATGTCTTTAAAGGTGTTACTTTTAAATTGAGTGGTCTACATTTTAGAAAGCACTTTGAGACTTGTCTGAGTACTTCATCAAATCTACAACGTCTGATGAGTGTTTTATGATTTGTGCCTTGCTCAAGAGCACCTCAGCACTGCTCAGGAAGTGAACCGGCACCTCTCCAGCAACCAGACCAGTTTCCAGATTTGGTCTGCACTGGTTCCCAACCCAAGTCCCCACAGACCAAGCTACTGCCGCCCCCATCTAAACATCTATTTAGTTTTGGTTTTGCTAAAACAAAGCGACTTTCAGTATCTCGATCTGTCTCTCATCAGAGCTCACCTGGCTGTACACGTCATGCACAGAAAATAAAATCTCATCCCGGCTTTTCTGTCTCTGTCCAAAATAATATATGATGTAGTGTCTATGTGCTCTAAAATGAATGTTTACCTGCAATACAGCAGAATAAACTATCCCACTATTGATAAAGTAATAGTTTTAGCAAAAAGCTGCAGTCTGTGTTTTGAATGTCTGGGGTCTCCAGAGTTTCATGAAGTCAAAGTGGGGTAATGAGCTCAACCAGATTGGGAACTATTAGTTTAATCTAATGAGTAATTTCTAATCTGACAATGTGTTTATCTGGGTGATTGTCAGTTTTGTATATATAATTAAACATTGCTCACCTAAATAATAAATAGTGGTTGTTTTTACTCCTGTTTGACAGTTAAGTGGCAGTCATGTAATTTATTTTTCAACCAGCAGAGAGCAGCACATGATTAAATCAGGAGAAAAACGTAGAAGAAGAAATCAGGAAGTAAGCGCGATGTAAACATCCCGGTCACCGGAGTGAAATAAAATCCAACACTTGAGCGTTAAACGGTAAAGATTTTAATACTTTAGTAATTTAGACGTTATTTTAGACATATAAGCTTTCGAGATGTGTGTGTTTCAGTTCATTTAATGTTCATTTTAATTCATATTTGGACGATAAAAGCGATAATTCTTCCCTAAACTGCTTTGTCATGTTTGTCACTAGTTTCACATTTGTTTGTTTGTTTGTTTGTGTCATTAATGTGGGAGATCTTGTGTTTAAATAACGTGTGTGTACTTTAATGTGAGAAACAGAATTGTGTTTTTCTGCTGTGTCAGTTTTTCTGCTGTGTCAGAGTGCGGCCTGTCTGCGGTCTGTGTGCGGCCTGTCTGCGGGCATCATGCCGTACCTGGGCGGTGACGACGCGGTGCGGGAGCTGAGGAGAGCTCTGTCCAATCCAAACGTCCAGTCCGACCCGCTGCGTTACAGAAACACCATCCTCAAAGTCATCAGGTGAGTGACAGGTGACAGACAGGTTGTAGTTCTCCACCAGGTGTGTCTGCAGGGCCGGATTCTTTTGACAGAGGGGCCTCGGGTGATACATATTCTGTAAGGCCCCTGCTGAGCCCCCCCTCTTTGATCTTCTATCAAACTCTACATGTTAAAATTACAGTCAGTCAGAACTGCACTTACTGGAGCTCTCAATAAAAATCATGAAGTATCACGTTATAAAAAGTAACGATATATAATAGTTTAGGGGTGTAAAAATATGACAGTAGTCCTCAGTATTAAAAAATATATAATAGAATTATACTTTATCTCTCGTGGAAAACTCTTAAATAGTCATTAGTTTAGCCTGGTGGTAGGGCTTGGTATTGATAAACAGAATTTTTTAGAGCTGGTATCTGATAGGTCAGTTACCAAATGTTCTGTCAATCTTATGTAGAAGCTGTGCTCCGGTGTCCTTTCAAAACATTTAATGATGATAAGAAACCGGCTCAGCTGTGACAGAGCAGCGGAGAGCAGGCGAGCAGGTCTCAACGGACTGAAGTGATGATGTCATGATGACGTCATGATGAACTTTTAGCATGAAGCCCGATGTCCCTCTGCAAATATTTGGATTATCAGTGAATTAAAATAAATGCTCTGCAAACTCAGGTGTCTTTTTTTACAGGTGTCTCCACATTGGCTGCATTATCGAGGGTCACATTTTCCGATCAAGTCATTCACAGACTTTGTTTAATTAATTCTGTCACTTGATTGAGCCGCATGCCTGGTCTCCATGGTAACAGCAGGTGTGGTTTAATGCCACTGCAAACACTCCTGGTGTTCATGTTTACAGAGAAACCTTTAATCACAAGCATCACATCTGAAGGTTAAATATTCTCTTAATCAAAAAAGATCCATTACATCCTCTCTCTCTCTCTCTCTGTCCCAGGTCGATGTCTCAGGGCGTCGATGTGTCCGGTCTGTTCAGCGAGATGGTCAAAGCGTGCGCCACCGTCGACATCGTCCAGAAGAAACTGGTCTACGTCTTCCTGTGCTCGTATGCCGCTCTGAACCCGGAGCTGTCTCTGCTGGTCATCAACACGCTGAGGAAGGACTGTCAGGACCCGAACCCGATGGTCCGCAGCCTGGCCCTGAGGAACATGACCAACCTCAGGTGAGCTCATCACACACGTTATCCTCCGTGTCATCGGCCTGTGAGTGCTGGAGTAAAGAAGGTGATATCTCTGTGTGTGTCAGGTTGCCCAGCCTGGTGGAGTACGTGGAGCAGCCGCTGACAGCCGGGCTCAGAGACAGAGCGGCGTGCGTGAGACGAGTCGCCATCCTCGGCTGGGCCAAACTTTACAACCTCCAACCCACCTCAGAGATCGGTACAGACGCAAGTCCATTTCTTTATTACTCTCTTTTGTTTTTTTCTTCTGTCTCACACAAATTCACCTTCTTAAAGGTAAGACTCATGACTCATGTCGACCAGACAGAAACCTGGATCAGAACCAGAAACCTGGATCAGAACCAGACTCATGTTGACCAGACAGAAACCTGGATCAGAACCAGACTCATGTTGACCAGACAGAAACCTGGATCAGAACCAGACTCGTGCATCAGAATCAGAGGATTTTCTCCTCCACAGACACTCGAGTTTGTTTTCTGAATGAGTGTTTTCTTTAAATGTTCCAGATGCTTCCGTGGTGAACGAGCTGTACAGCCTGCTGAGGGACCCCGACCCCGTGGTCATTGTGAACTGTCTGCGGGCCCTGGAGGAGATCCTGAAGGAGGAGGGAGGGGTCGCTATCAACAAACCAATCACACACCACCTCCTGAACAGGTAACGACGCCCCGTGATTCATGTCGAATCCTGCTGAGGTTCCTATAAGCGAGCAACTGGAGCGTTTATAAAGTGTTCTGCAGCACAGAGCCCCTCTCTCTCTCTCTCTCTCTCTCTCTCTCTCTCTCTCTCTCTCTCTCTCTCTCTCTCTCTCTCTCTCTCTCACTCTGACCATAATCCTTTATCTGCAGACGTTTAATCAAATCAGCTCACCCGTTTGCTTCCCGGTTCATTTCCCTGTGAGTGCAGAAAGCTTTCCTTTCACAGACTGACTGTGAGCTTCCTGCTGAACACGTCCGTCTTTACCATACCATCTACAGCTCCAGCCCTTTAAAATATAAAAATATATCGACTTTTAAACACTGCTGTCATCCAAACAAACACCTGTGAGGAGTTGTTTGCCGTTAAACTCTTCCCTAACTGTTGCAGATACTTTTGCAAAAAGAAATCGATAAAAGCTTGAGTTTGAATCAGAATCAGTGTGACGTGAAATGGCTTTGTTGTTATGAAAGCTAATCAACAACTTCAACACATCACAAGAGTTTGGACTTCAGACTCGAGGTCTCATAACGCTAACTCGCTAACTACAGGTTAAATGCTCTAACTTTCTCCTTTTTTTGAACCTGGGTCGCCCGCTTGGAGGACACCCAGTGTGGGATATTTTATTGTTTTTGATTCGCCTCAAAAAAGTCGGTTCACTCCTACACTCTGCCGAAATTGCACAAATATTTTTGCAACTTCTAAGTACCGAAATGTTGTCAACATATTTGTGCAATCTAGAGACAGTGTGCAGAAGTGAAGCTGCATTTTCTGATGGATACCTTCCCCTCCTACCCACCTGTCTGTGTGTGTCTCCTCTCAGGCTGAAGGAGTGTGATGTGTGGGGTCAGTGTGACATCCTCAGAGTCCTCCAGCGGTACAAACCTCAGTCAGACGACGAGCTCTTCGACATCCTCTCCCTGCTCGACGCCTCATTGGTCAGCCCCCACCCTCCCGTCATGGCCGCCACCCTCAGCCTCTTCCTCCACCTCTGCCCCGACCTCCCCGCCGTCAGTCAGGCGGCTTTAGAGCGAGTACGCGGACCCCTGCTGGCAGCCTGTGGCAGCGCGTCCAGAGAGATGAGGTTCACCGCTCTCTGCCACATACAGGTGAGTGAGGAGGATGTTCAGCTTTACTTTCTGTGACAGAGAGACATGCTGCTCAAACACACAACCTGTGGACAAGCTTTAATGGAGAGACGTCAGGATGAGGGGCTGCAGACAGGAGGCGCTCTGTACTCTGCAGTAACCAGAATAATTAAAAAACTTTCATCGTACCAGGACTTGAACCGGTGCCCCTTCAAGAAGTGAGTTACTGCTGCAGCATTATTATCATAGAAGCTGCTTTGTTTGTAAACATTCAAACGTGGCCCCTCCTCCCCCAGAAGCTCCGCCCCCTGCAGGATGTAGTGTGTACGTTTACGGCTTGTACCTACATTGCAAGCTAATGCACGCTAGCACAAGCTAACCGCCGGTGTTCATCACCTGCCTGTCCAACAGGAAGTAGACCAACTCCACGTCCTCGGGTAAAAGACAACACAAGGTTCACCCTCGTTTTAGAACGAGCTTTATCTACTTGGTGTTTCTCCTCACTCTGATTATATTTTCTCTTCTTTGCTGCTACAGCCACGTCCGTCATATTCACCGGTTTGAATCTCGTCCAATCACTGAACTGTATCCACTCCTAAAACTCACCTGCTGCGCTGTCATTGGCTGGAGGAAACACACCAGCTCCGCCCAGAAACGTCCCGAGTCAACCAGAATAAAGCAGAACAGTAAAATCCAGTCAGAGGACAGAGTCTCTGCAGACACAGTCACCACCACACATGTATGGAGGCCCAGAAGGGACGATGGAGCAGCTTCACTTTAGGAGAAATCTGTATTTTATTTTGAAGGAGAAGTCTGTATTTTATTTTGAAGGAACCAGCCAGCTTCACTTTAGGAGAAGTCTGTATTTTATTTTGAAGGAACCAGCCAGCTTCACTTTAGGAGAAGTCTGTATTTTATTTTGAAGGAACATGATTCTGACTGTCTTTAAAAGAGGATAAAATATGTTTCAGACATCAGAGACTCGTCACGCATCCTTTCACATCTTAATGGTTTTAGCTTTCTTGCTCGATATATGAAGGATCAAAGTCCTTTGAGAAGTGGACCGAAGCTCACGTCAGCAGCGACAGTCTCCAGCTGTCTTCTGTTTGAAACCAGCGACACTTTTTCTGCTCTGGAGAAAAATCAGTCAGCATGACGACACAGGGGAAATGGAAAAGAACTCGATGCAAAACCCTGAATGTGTTTCTATCTCTTAAACAATTATGTTTTACATAAGAGACAGAGTCATTTGTGTGTGTGTGTGTGTGTGTGTGTGTAATCTTTTTCATCAGTTGTGGTTTTTCTTTTCTTCCAGTTGCTGCTGCGTTCTCTTCCTGGCCTGATGGGGGCGCACTACAAACGATTCTTCTGTGGTTACGCTGAGCCAGCTTACATCAAGCAGAGGAAGATGCAGGTGAATATAGATATAAAGTTTGGATGTTTTTAGATACATAGATATCCTCAGGTAATCCTCTGTGTCTGTAGTTAGCCTCGTTCACTCTCTCACTAAACTCCTGAAGTGTTGGTGCTGAACAGTCAGGTCAGGAGGATTTCAGGAGCTGTCGTCGTGTGTAAAAGGCTTTAGTTGTTGTTGTGTTTTTCCAGGTTCTGGTGGAGCTGGTGAACGATGAGAATGTGGTCATGTTACTAGACGAGCTGAAAGGTTACTGCACTGATGTCAACGCAGACACCGCCCAGGCTGCAATCTCTGCTATAGGTAAACACACCTGTCGTCTCAACGTCACCTTATTCTCTGAAAGACTTGAGGAAATATCACACTTTGATCCATACTGCAGGAAGACTCGTCACATTATTCTTAAAGTGTTTTAACATTTTTTAAGAAACAGTTAGAAAGAAAAGAGAAGTTTTTAAATACAGAGAGGGAGGAAGAAAAACACTGACACCAATAATAACTTATAATCACTTTACAGTAAATGAAGGGTCCATGGACTTAAACCTCGATCCCGCATTCTAAAAGGTTCCTTAACCCTGAGAAAAGTTCCTGCGGTGAAATATGTCTCTCTCCCTCTCTCTCTCTCACTCCCTCTCTGTCTCTCTCTCTCTGTCTGTCTCTCTCTCTCTGTCTCTCTCCCTCTCTCTCTCTCACTCCCTCTCTGTCTCTCTCCCTCTCTCTCTCTCACTCCCTCTCTGTCTCTCTCCCTCTCTCTCTCTCTCTGTCTCTCTCTCTCTCTCTCTCTCTCTCTCTGTGTTTCCTGTGCTCAGGTCGGATTGGGCGGAGTTACAGCGACAGGTGTTTGGAGATCCTGACGGGACTGCTCGGGCTCAAACAGGATCACATCACGTCGGGTAAAATCTCAAAGTTCCTGCATGGAAGACGATTTGATTTTTAAGTGTTTTCCAAGTTTGTTGAAGTCCAGAAAAAAGAAGAACATCTGTTTTTAAGACTTCTGCAGTCCAGATTCTAAACATTGGAGCGAGCTGTCTCCCCCCACCCCCTCCTCTCTAGAGTCGATGTGTGTGTAGCTGTTAGCGTCTGTTTCCCCGTGTAGTCTTCTCCTATAACGCCTCTTTGTTTGCCCCCCCCCCCCCCCCCCTCCAGCGGTGGTGCAGACGATGCGTGACCTGGTGTGGGTGTGTCCTCAGTGCAGCGACACGGTGTGTGTGGCTCTGGAGGGCTGTGAAGAGACACTGCAGGACAGCCAGGTCAGACACACACACACACACACACACACACACACACACTGCCTGGACGATAACATACCGTATTTTTATTATCATTTTAAAACATGCGGTAATTATGACCTCACATTAGAGGCGGAGCTTTCAGATTCTGATTATGTAATGGGGTAAATCCTTGTGAACACACAGTCCACCTGAACTCGACTCTGATGTAATATGCACCGCGGACGGAGATGCACAAATGAGATGCAAACTGACTCGAGGCGGCGGCTCCTGTCTCATAAACACAAACACCTGTCGCCTGTCTGAATGCATCCAAACTACAACGCCTCCTCTTCAGTCTGTTGTACAGACTAGTGTTGTCATGACACCAGAGTTGAACCTGATACGATCCCAGTTACATCCTAATGCTGTTGATACCCGTTTGATACCATGGCAACCAAAACAGAAGTCCTACAGCCTGAAGATCCAGTCTGACCTCTCTGGTCCTTGTCATCCATCTTCCTCCTCCATCAGGGCAGGCAGGCGTTGCTGTGGTTACTAGGTGTGTACGGGGAGCGGGTCTCTAGCGCCCCCTACACGTTGGAGGTGTTTATCGATGGCGTGAGGAGCGAGGCATCACTTGGTGTGAAGATGGAGCTGCTTACGACCGCCATGAGGCTGTTTCTGTGTAGACCTGCTGAGACTCAGGACATGCTGGGACGACTGCTGCACTACTGCATCGGTGTGTGTGCGTGTGTGCGTGCGTGCGTGCGTGCGTGCGTGCGTGCGTGCGTGCGTGCGTGTGTGTCATCATCATCTTTTATCATTTATTTTTTTATGTTCCAGAGGAGGAGACCGACATGTGTGTGCGTGACCAAGCTCTCCTTTATTACCGCCTGTTGCATTGTGGGATTGAAGAGACTCGAAAAGTCCTCCATGGTCCGAGGTCAGACCCCTCTCTGGGCGTTCTGATTGGACGCCCTGCTGAGCCAATCAGCCAATGGGCGTCCAGCTTCAACACTCTGGAGCCTCTGAGGCAGGTCGCCGTGGAGACGGAGTCCGTCAGCAGAGGGAGTCCTGAACATGTGACCACCGACCTGTCAGTCACTCTGAGCGGCTGCAGAGTCCACGATGTGCGTTCAGGTGAGTGAGAGTCTTTTACAGGAGGTTTGTTATGATACCTCTCGGTTCAAAACCTTTTTTACTTCCTGTTGAATCCTAAACATTCCTATTTAGACAAATGCTGATAAAAGTCCATGCTGAGGTAATCTTTGACGCACTAATGTTTGGACTCTCTGAACCTCAAGCAGCTTCCTCATCTCACTGAAGGACTCTCAGAAATCTGAGGATCAAAGTTACAAAAAACATTCTTGTTTCAGTCAGAGACTGAGAAGACGGTCCTCCCTCCCAAGGTGAAGGTCCATTTCTGGGAATGTAGAACCATTTTAATCACAAATCTCATCCTCAGGCACTCATCCAAACTTCCTGTCTCACCCCGTCTGACCCCCCTTTGACCACTACTCGGCTCCTGCTGCATCCTCACCCTTTCTCCTCTCTGTCCCTCCTCGTTCTCTCGGGCTCAGACGGTGTTGGACGCTGTGCAGACTCCTCCGCTGACATCCCGCCCCCCCTCAGCCTGTCCCCTTCCCCGGCTCTCAGCCCGGAGGAGTTTGAGCGTCTGTGGCTGCAGCGACAAGCTCTGCATGCTGAGCGAGGTAATTCAATAGATAAAGATTCTCTCTCTCTCTGAAAGCTTTTTCTCCTCACGGGAAAGGGGACGAGTCTGACAGGAACAAGACGACACAGACCTGTAGAAGTAAGCTGGTCCATACCCCGATACTACGACCTGTTGTTTTTTTACAAACATTGTTTTGAAAAGTACCGACGCTTTACAGAAACTTCAGCTCTTCAGTCAGATTTTTAGACCAAAGCTGCTGCAAGTATGTGTCTCTGGAAACAAAGAAACCATGAACCTTTATGGAAGGGGGGACTCGGGCTGTTACAGAACCAGAATGTTAAACTTGATATGATTCTCAGGTTCAGATTCAGAAAACTTTATTATTTGAAAGGTGAGGGCGGTCAGGACAGGTCAGGGTTCACTGACTGACGACCTGCAGCTTCATATGACAGGCTGGAAATCTTTCAAAGTCTGTTCACATTTAAAGTGCTCGTTCTTTATGAGAGTAACCTCATGGTTATGGCAGGGGGAAAGCACACAATGGCTCTTGGACTTAATATTCCTTTTTCCATTTCCCATCTGCACAGCTGTCCCAAGGGTCAGCCTCTAGTCGGACACTTTATTGATAACCTCAATTATTTAAATTGCACATTTAATGTTTGCACTGACTGTTATTTAATGTCTTTTTTTGATCATTTTATTCTTTATTCTTATTTATAAACTTTGCTAAAAAAAAAAAATTCATCTAGGGGTATTCTTTAAATCTTTTTTTCGGGTTAATATATATGTATGGGAGGGGGGGCGTCGGTTTTGTGGTTTAATTTGTAACAAATGTTTCATGTCATGTACGTCTTTGTAACCTGCTACTGGATGCTTTGAATTTCCCTCGGGATCAATAAAGTATCTATTTATCTATTTATCTATCTATCTATCTATCTATCTATCTGTCTATCTATCTAAAGTTTCTCTGACTTAACGTCTTTTGTTTTTTCTCGTGCAGGTGCTGAGAAAACGGGAGAGGAGGATTTTGTGCGCTTAGAGGAACGTGTTCGATGCCCCGCGGTTCCTCACTGTTCCCCTCAGAGTCTTCAGGCTGCCATGCAGCTTCTCAACATCCAGACGTTAGCCTTCACGCCGCCACACGCACTCCCCTGGAGGGTCTACCTGTACACACACACGCAGCACACACACTCTGAAGACACACTATGCCGCACGCTCATACTCGGTGAGCTGCTCTGCACGGGGGGAGACAGAGAGGGGGAGGAGGGGGGAGGGGGAGCCACAGGGGACGGGGTGAGAAAACCTGAAGAAGAAGAAGTGAAAGTGACTCTTCAGCAGCAGCCGAGAGACGATGAAGCTCTGAGAGGGTTTCTATCCATCCTCACCTCGGTGCTGCACACACTGACCCCAGAGAGTGAATAAACACACACACACGCTCATCGTGTGACCTTCTGCACATCACACAGACTGTATAAAACATGGACGTATTCTCAGTGACGTCACACACTGGTGTCTCTGAAGCCCAACCAGGGTTGCGCCATATTGGAAATGCTGACTCACACTAATTTTAGAAAAATCCAGAATCACACTAAGAGGATGATGACCTGACAAACTGCTGCAACACGCCCACCTGTCCATCAGAGCAGCCACACCCCAAATTATGTAAATGTGTGCATAACTCTGAGCCTTAATATCAAAACAGAACAATTAAAAATATGTCACTTCCTGTACCTGAATACAGACAAAGAAACAAACTATTGTGTTCCTGTGTTTATTTCTGCTGTAAAGATTAGCATTTTAATATGAGACCTGATGGGAATTCATTGGCTTTTGGAGCCAGCCCCAAGTGGACAGTCAGGGAACTGCAGGTTTTAGTAAGTATGCAACCGTTTTGTCTTTCAACACTGAAGGTTACCACTACGTTCATCCTTACAAACATGCTCACTGACCTTAACAGGTGACCCAACGCAGCGTAGGGTTAAGTTCAGTTCAGAATATTTAAAACAGATAAAAGCAACGTGGACCTGCGAAGACGACGTTCACAGAGCTCAGGGTCAATCATCTCCTCAGTCACCGTAACAAACTTTAATTAGACTTGACAGGTGAAGAGTTAATAATGAAGTTTGGGTCAGAGTTTGACCTGCGGGGGGCAGTATGGAGGAGAGATAACGAGAGGCTGCAGGACGTCTGAAATAAAGTCTTGAACGGATTTGTGAGCAGCATTAACTTTAATAAAAGTCAAAATCCATCACTGAGAAAGGTGTATTTTGATTTCATGCTTTGACCCATGTCCCATCTGATAACATGGAGGAGGCGGAGCTTATGACTTGTTATGGCGTTATTTGTATTCTACGGCGTATGATACACATCTGTAGTGATGTTTGATGTATTTTTATAAAGCTGCTGAGAAACTTTCATCTCGTGTGTGTTTTGGCGCCCCCTGCCTTTCGTACTGGAAACGTATCACTAAATGAATCTTTGCTGTGGCAAATGTAAATAGAGAGTCTTTAGGAACAGCACAGATCTGATGATGACAATAAGAGACATTAAAAAAATCTTTACAGTCGTAATAAATCAGGCAGACAGGCTGTGTGGAGGTAAACCACAGACTATATGAATGTTTGAAGCCTGAGTGAGGTCCCCCATCTGTTCCTGCAGGGGGCGCGCTGGAGTCCCATCGATGGCGGTCTCCATGCGGGAAATGCTGTCTCATGCTGTCTAACTTTCAGTCAACCTAACGACAGGCTGAGAGCTGGAGCTGAGGCGGGTTTTAAACCTCCTGACAAACCATTACACCACGCCCACCTGTCAATCAGGTCAGCTACACGCCTTATTGTGAATAATTCTTATCCTTCATCAAATCAAAACTGATGAGTCATCAAAACATTCACCCCCCCCCCCCTACAGTGTGTGTCGAGACATGAGCTAATCACACCTATTTGGTTTTTTGAACCAGGCTGTAAACATGTTAATCTCTGAACGACTTCAACTTTCAATGGGTCATTTGTGGTTATAGTAATAGTATATCCGGGTGGGCTGGGTCTGAGGGGACCAATGTGAGATGGGATATGGGGCCCCAGAAATGCTGGAGATGGCCCAAGAGCAGCCTAGTGTGGATTCATCCTGCAGAGTATGTGCTTAGGTCAGTCCGAGTGTATTAAATACCACGAGTAATGACTCTGCGTGAGTAATGACTCTGCGTGTGCGTGTGCGTGTGCGTGTGTGTGTGTGTGTTCATATAAAGCCGGTGCACCTGCCGCTGACACACACATACAAAGAGAGACGGAGCGTGAGCAGGAAGCAGCGGCGGATCAAACAGAGCAGCTCTCTGAACCGGACAGTGATCGTTTCCTCTCCGGTGATCCCCCTCACTCTCTGGTCCTTATAAGCCGAACATCCCGGATCAGAGCCCGGTGACTAACGGACTGTCAGCCGCCGAGAGGAGCACAGACACCGGCTGCATGAGGTGAGAGCCCCGGGGAAACACACAACAGAAATAACTTTATATGTTTATTATTACACTTTTCTCTAACGAGGGGAGAGTCGGTATGTGCTGTCTGTTCCTAAACTGACCTTTACTCTAATATGACCGGGATAAAGGCGTATTCAGCCGGAAACAACCGGCAGAGAGTTTGTAACTCCGTGAAGCCTCCAGTCTGAAACAGTGTCGTTAGTCTGTAATAACAGTCTACTGTTATGACTGTCATTATACAAGAGATAATAACTCGTGGTGCTAAAAATCCAGCCGTCAGTTTCAGTCTTGATTTTAAGTGCTTTAAGAAACAGACAAACACATGAACTGTGTAGGATGCACAACTCTCTGTTCTTGTGTTTTCAGCCATGTTGTCTCTGACAGCAACCAAAGGTTCAAAATAAAACTGAACATCTGCAATCATCATTCAAATAAGGAAGGCTGGGCTGTTTTTAAACCTGGTATAGAAGTGTTGGACATTTTGACAACCCCAGCCTGTTCTTTATTCGGACAAACCCTCTGAATCATTGGTTCTCAACTGGTGGGTGAGGGCCCAAAAGTGGGTCGAGGGACTGTTTTCATCTGGTCCTGAATTCATAGCTTTCAGTCACGTGACTGGTTCAGCAGACTGGAAGTCAAAAAGAGTTTAGAACAGTAACAGCCACCACTGAAAACACTGAAGGACTGAAGCACGGACTTGCACATTTTCCATCTCCACTAAACGACGCTTGTTTACATCACCTGAAAACCAAAGTCAAACTGAGATAGGAGGAGAAACTGAGAGTTTGGCTCACCTGCTAGACCGATTTTGTTGATGTTAAACCAGTGCCTCATCTGTCATGATGAACTTGTCTGAAAGAATGTAGCTTAATTAGAGTGTCTGGGGCAACTGGCTTAGCCTGTTTCCACGGTGCACAGACCTCTTTCAGTCTCTGTCAGTCAGTGTCCTGGGACTGGGGTAGATCACTATTTTGATTTCTTTCACTTCCTCTCTTTTCCTACTGGACCTCCTTTAGTACACTTCCTGGGTCCCCCCCCATGATTGGTTACTGTTTGCACTCTGTCCCTCATGAGTTAGTTTGAATTCACCTGCTCACTGCTTAATTAAGACTGCTCATGTTTTCATCGCGGCAGTTCAGAACTTGTCAGCACTGTTGTTTGAAACATCCCATGAGTGTTTTCTCTTACCCTCGTTATTTAACTAGATTGGATGAAATAAACCTGTTTATGTGGATTCCTGCATCCTGACACGATGCCCCCATGGTGAACAGGGACAGACATTTTTGTTAAAGGCAAAGTGAATACAATCTTTGATGTCAGGATGGGGAGAGGTCCGTTCTTTTGCCGTCACCGGGACAACCTGACAGCATTAATCCACAATCTTTCTTTCCACCTTCAACTGACTTTAGTTTGAAAAATTAAGAATAAAACACGTCTGAGGCCCCTGACTTCTCAGTAGTGTACAGCAGCAGATAGCCTTTCTGTGTGTGTGTGTGTGTGTGGACAGTCACAGTTTGCATAACGACCATATCTCATATCTGACCTGTCAGTGTAAACAGAGCTCACAGTCAGAGCTAAATTTAACCCAAAGGATTCTCGTTCCAGGAACTTCTCCTCTCCGTTCTCTTTTAGCGGCTTCTCCTTTATCAGCTACACACACACACACACACACACACTTCCATAGCTCTAACAATCTGATATCAGGAGCTGAATGGCTTTGTTGTCAGACATGTTTGGTAGGTTGTCTTTGGTTTTGTTATAGCAGCAGAGACAGTGTGCTTCTGTTTTGAAGAGGGTGTGTGTGTGTGTGTGTGTGTGTGTGTGTGTGTGTGTGTGTGTGTGTGTGTAGGACAGTGGTCACGGACAGGGAAACTAACAAAAAGACAATTGCACCTTCATAAAACAACAAAAAATAAGGCCTTTGGGGTTCTAAAAGGTGGAGTGGAGTCTCCACAGCCACCCACTAATTCTACTACAATTCTACAATTCACTTAGCAGACGCTTTTATCCAAAGTGACGTACATCAGAGAGTAAGTACAACACAAGCACGGATCTGGAAAAAAGGGAACAATGTCAGTAAGAGCATTGACACACAGGTGCTGACAGGAAGTGACCAGAGGCAAAGCACAACATTGAGGGCAGTTCTTGAGAGCTCTAATCAGTATAGAAACCATCTTATAAGTCGTCGTTATCAAACAAAAACCATCGTTGTAGGTATCCACTGAATGAAGCCGTAGCTTGACGCTCCCAAAACTCCTCTCTTAAGTAATTTTCACCCAAAAAATCCACAGGACCAAATGATCAAAGTTTAAATGTTTACTTAAACATAAATAAACAAAAAACAGATACAGGTTAGTCCAAAACTATACAAAAAGAGAGATGAGGAGAGAGAGGTCAAAAGACTGTGTGGCTCCACTCTCTACTAGTCCGAACTGAGCCCAATTAAGTCCACAAGCCCCTCCCCCTCCCAGATCCAATGAACATAAAGTATTACATGCATCCATAAATTTAACATGATGAGCAATAAGGCTCCTACAATTGTCATTACCATCATCATCATCATCATCATCAATAATATGGAGACCATCATCATTAAGTTAGTAGGTATTCATGAAAGAGCTGGGTCTTTAGCTTTTTCTTAAACAAAAAGTGGAGCCTGATCAACCCTTGGTTAAAACCCTCTTTCCCCACACACACACAATCTTATGACACTCTTCCCACAAACACAGAGAAACCAACTGAAGGTGTTGATTCTCCGGTGTCACACATCTAACTGAGGGAAAGAGCAGCCAGGCTGATGAGCACCGGCTGGCTGCTCATCAGGACAGGTGCTCTCAATGAGAGGCTCGTTAGACGCACTGCAGGTCACAGTGTGTGTGTGTGTGTGTGTGTGTGTGTGTTTCCAACCTGTGCCCATGTCTGATACTCTGAAACATTCATTCACTGTTTGATGAATTATTTACTCTTGTGCTGACTGAGTTACACACCAGCGTAATAGAGAAGTGTGTGTGTGTGTGTTTGTTATAGGAAATGCGGCGTCTGTCAAAGAAGAAGAATGTTGCCTTCACTCTGCTGTTTCTCATCGGTGGATTTTACTTCATTAACCATTCAGACTTCCTCATTGCTGTGAGTACACACGCACACACACACAGGATGAGGTTACACTGTAACCTCATCCTGTGTGTCAATGATTTTAAAGAAGCACAGATTTCAGGTTTCATATCTTTGCTTTTATAAAGTAATAAAATCATGTGTTTGTGTCAAAGGGTCTGAGGACGTCCTTGGAGCCCCCTCCTCGGGTGCTGACCTGGGAGGCGGAGCGTCCCGTCAGCAAGGAGTCGTGGGTGGAGCAGGGCGACTTTCTACCTCTGAATGTGTCCTATCAGCTGCTGGCTGGATCTGCGTCCCCTCAGCAGAGTGAGTCACACTGACCTGAGCTCTCAGCTAATTTACTCTCAGGTGGGAAACTCTGAGTTTCAGGTTCCAGATCAGCTGATTTGAGTTTGTTAAATCAAATCTGAGTAGGTCCACTCGGTGTTCAGCGCATGCACCACAACGATAAAAAGCCAGCATTTCACTAGCAAGGAGCACGCCACAACAGTATTAGTACATTTAATGTGAATTGGAAGATATATTGACAGATGTGTATAAGATGGCCGTCGTCTTTAAGACTGGGCTGGGAGGTTGATCGGGCGGGCGAGAGACTCGGAGTGGGGCTTCCATCTCGGGTATGGATCCACCCGAACTGATTACGGCCCCAGACTGTAGGGATGAGGAAGGAGGGAAGGGATGAGGAATGAGGGAAGGGATGAGGAAGGAGGGAAGGGATGAGGAAGAGGAAGGAAGGAAGGGATGAGGAAGGAGGGAAGGGATGAGGAAGGAGAGAAGGGAGGGTGGGTAGAAGGATCTGAGACAAACGGGGTGTGGTGAGGTGACCAGGTGTTAAGTAGGCTGTCAGGTAATTCGAGGTGTGGTTTTAGTTAATACATGAACTCCATTAATGGAGCCCTGATACTATAATATGACTTGTGTTATTGTTGCCGTGGTAACCAACAGGTATATGGACATGGTTTGAAGTGAACGTTCTGGTCTCATGTGGACTTTAAAGAACTCATAAAACGACAGTTACAGTTGAAATGAAACAATAAGAATGAATCCTCTTGTAAACATAACATGTGTTGCTTTTATTTTGAAGGTAGATAAACAGAAGTGTGTTGCTTTTATTTTGAAGGTAGACTGTAGAAGACACAAGTTTGTCTGATGTCGACCTTTAAGAACAACACGGTTTATTAACAATAATATAAGGGAAAAGAACTACACTACCCATAACACTTAGAGTGTCACAGCTGAAATATTCAGCATGTGTGAATGCCAATGGCGGAAATCGCCCCCACAAAACTTTTTCATGGGCTCCAAAATTTCCTCGGGCACAGGCCAGTTTCTGATGCAGACCAGAAACATGTTTCTTTTGTTTCTTTCAGTCCGCGTCTCTTTAAGAGCTCATCTGACTTTAGTCCTTTTACAGTCTTGTATCACAGATATTTTTGTCTTGTTTCAGGGTTTTTATCAGTTGGAATCTCCTCTGTGAAGAGGCAGAAGGGCAGCTATCTGATCCCCACTCTGCAGTCTTTGTTCTCCCAGTCGTCTCCCGAGGAGCGCTCCTCCATGGTGGTGGTCCTGCTGCTGGCCGACTTTGATGTGAGCTGGAGGGTCAGTACGGTGAAGGAGATCAGGGCTGCGTTCACCTCGGAGCTGGAGCAGGGACAGCTGCTGGTCCTGCATGTTCACCAGGAGTGGTACCCTCCTTTAAAAGGTAGATCCTACAGGACTTCACATCATGGACTGTATGTAAAGAGGGACGATGTGTCTCCACCTCCTCAGGCTGTAAAAAAGTGTAAATGATGCACTTCACATTTGGAGTCAGAGTCGACTGTAGTGCCGTCCATCTTTTTATACAGTTTACATATCCATGTTGCTCTGTTGATGCAGTGATTCTGACACGAGGCTCTCTGGTGCTCCTGCAGGTTTAAAGAGGAACTACAACGATGCTCCAGATAGGGTGTCGTTCCGCTCCAAACAGAACTTGGACTACGCCTTCCTGATGCACTACAGCGCCGCTCTGGGTCGATACTACCTGCAGCTGGAGGACGACGTCTCCTCAGCTAAAAGCTTCCTGAGCACCATCAGGAGGCGCGTGGACGAGCAGGAACGCAAGACGGGGACAACCTGGGCGATGCTGGAGTTCTCCACCCTCGGCTTCATCGGGAAACTCTACAAGTCAGCACACCTTTCTCTCCTGGCCCGCTTCCTCTTCCTCTTCTATCAGGAGATGCCCTGTGATTGGCTGATGTCTCACTTCAAGACGCTGCTGACTCAGAAAGAACAAATCCTGTTCAAGCCGTCGCTCTTCCAGCACATGGGGACGTTCTCGTCCTTCCAGGGGACATTCAACAAACTCAAGGACAAAAACTTTGAGGCCGGATTCTTCAACAATCCTCCAGCCGAAGTGTTTACCGACATCTCCACCTACCAGAAACACTTCCCCAAACTGGCCTGGGAGTCCGGGGAGGGATTCTTCTGGGGACGCTCCCCCGAGGAAGGAAACCATCTGACCGTAGTGTTCGCAGAGCCCGCCGTGGTGACGAGGATTCTCATAGAAACGGGGTCAGGTGGAAAAGACCTGCTGCAGTCGGCTCAGGTGGAGGTGGGCCGTGAGGTGGTGTCCACGGAGAGGCAGGAGAAGACATGTAAAGAGTTCCTGTCAGTGGGGACGTTAAAGAATGGGGGCTTCGAGATGCAGGAGGTGGACAAAGAGTTAAGCTCCGCCTCTTCCTGTCTCAGGATCCTGGTGACGGCGTTGCAGAAGGACTGGATAATTGTTAACAAAATCCGGATCTCCATAAAGTCCAGCTCAGGAGTGAATCCGTCCTCCTGATGGATTCGATCTGTTGGATAAACTTTACGTGCCTTTTGAAACTCTTCAAACTCTTTAATGAAACGACGTCTGACCAAAATCTGTGAGAACTTATCATCTTCATCATGAGGAGATGTTAAAGATAAAATTATTTGTAAGAGATTCATGTGTTTTATATTTTTATACATTTAAAGAAGAGCTGTCAGCATTGACGAGTCAATCACATTAATCTCATGTTATTTTGTCCCTTCAGGCTCTCCGTAGATAGTGGTCCCTGTAGGTGTCTCCCTGTAGTCTCGGTGATGTAAGAGAAGGACACTGCTGCATCTTTGAATGTCTCATTTCACTGTAATAAACTCTCAGACAGCTCAGCTGACGAGTCCAAAGTAATATCCACCTTATGACATCACACATTGACCTTATGACATCACACATTGACCTTATGACATCACACATTGACCTTATGACATTTTGCAGGTGTGTGGTCTGGCTGAATCGTCTAGTGTGTGTGTTCAGAGGAATAGTGTGTAGCCAGACTTAATTGCACAAATACGTCGTTTTTTTATTTACATTTTTTTTTAACACCCTGCTCACCTGGATCTGGTTCACACCCACCTTTTCCAGCCGTGTCCTCCTCACCCAATAAAACTCTCGTCTCCTGGTCCAAAGGTCCTGTGATACTGCTTTAATCACCAACACTCAGGCTGGCGCTTCTACCCTCTAGGCGGGGCTCTAACTGATCAAACGGTAAAGAAGACGGTAAACAACAATCGCTCTGTGAATCACTGAGAGGTCAAAGGACCCCAGAGGGATGACCAGGAAGTGTTTGATCTCTAAACATGATCCACAGCCAGTCAATAAAGATCATGATACCAGACTGGGTTCAAATCCAACCTGTGGCACGTTTCCCCACTCTCTCTTGCTCTGATCTCTGACTCTACTGTCACGTCTCTTTTAAAAAAAAATATTTTATTTATACATTTTCAGTTTTATAAACAAACAGCACAGCAACAAAAAAGCCCCCCTAAGACAAAGAGGAATTAGAAAAATAAGAAACATAGGGCAGGGCGAAAATAAAGCAAAACAACAACAAAGACATGCTTATAGGATATCTTACAATACAGCAAGTCAACATTTTTTAAAAGAATCAGCACCAACTGTTAAGAGAGCACGGTGTGTCTCATTGGCCTAGGACAGTACAAGTACATGGTTTCTATACATATAAGTAGTGTGGACAACTGTTTGCACAAACTTATACAAGCAGAATAAAACGTTAGGTTGTCTTTGATAAATAAGACAAGAATGGTTGCCACATTTTATCAAAGGTTGTAGAGCTGAAAGAGACACTATATCGGACCCTCTCCATATCTAACAGGTTAGTCATTTCTTGTAGCCAGATCCTAAAAAAGGGTATATCTCCACTCTTTCAGAGAGACAGAATATTCCTCTTCGCAACAACCATGCCGGAATGTAATGTCTTTTGTTGTAGACGAGACAAGTTTAATGAATGTTGAATTCCGCCAAAAATGGCTGTAAAAGGATCTGGTGTAATGTCAAGGTTGTACATTTCAGAGAAGCAATTAAAAATATCTGACCAGAACTTATTTAGTTTAGGACAAGAACAGAATAGGTGACCCAGAGTGCCCTCAGCTGATTTACACTTTGGACAGGTTGGAGAAACAGACGGATAAAAGGAGTGCAATTTGGTGCAGGAATAATGAAGCCCATGAAGTATTTTAAATTGAATAAGTTGGTGTCTGGAGTTTATAGAACAACTATAAATGTTTTTAAGGTAGGTTTTCCAGGTCTCGTGACCAACTGATACACAAAGATCTTTTTCCCATGCTACCTTTAGGTGCTGTGTGGAAACAGGGTTATGTGCTGTGAAAAGATTTACAAATCTGGAGATTAATCGTTTCGAGTCAGGACTCTGGTTTATAAGATTATAAAGTTCGCTTGGGGTTGGCACTGACTGAAAGTTTGAAATATTTGTGCGGATGTAGTCTCTTATCTGGAGAAAATGGAAGAAATCCGAATCTGGCAGTGTATATTTTTCCTTTAACTGTAGAAAGGTGGCAAAAGTTTTATTAACATACAGGTCTGCAATGGTGATGATGCCTTTATTCCACCAGAGTCTGAAAGTATTATCTGTGATTGAGGGAGGGAAGGTATGGTTGCAGCAAACAGGTGTATAAGCAGAAGTTTCAGGTAATTTAAATGATTTCCGTATTTGATACCAAATTCTCAAAGAGTTTGTGATTATAAAGTTATTGCCTGTAATAGTTGCAGGGGAACTGGTTTGTGAAAATAGAAGAGCGGGGAGGGAGGTTTTCAAAAGATCCTGTTCAATTGCCAGCCATGAAGGGGTTGAAGGGGTGACTTTACCTGGATATTATATTATGTCCATATTCTTATGTTCATATTATGTCCATATTCTTTATATTATCTCTAAACTAGTATAGCATGCTCACTGCACCTTAATCTGTATATTATAATCCTAAGAATACACTTATATTTATAGCATTTATTTATATTTATAGCATCCCATTAATCCAGCCATCCATATATACCTAATAATTCACTTTTTTAGTCTACATCTGTAAATTTTGTAATTACTGTACATAGCACAGACTCTTGCACTTTCTGCTTATTTGCACTTCTGGTGAGATGCCAAACCTCATTTCGTTACTCTATACTTGTATATGTGTAATGACAATAAAGTTGAATCTCATCTCATCATCTCATAAGCATCTTTCCAGTACATCAGTGCTCTAGAGTTTGCAGCCCAATAATAGTACCGAAAGTCTGGTAGACCAAGGCCACCTGCAGATTTTGGCTTAGTGATATGCTTTTTAGAGATACGATGTGCTTTGAAACCCCATATGAAAGGCAAGATCAAGGAATCTAGTAGCTTGAAAAAAGCTTTGGGCAAGAATATAGGTACATTTTGAAAGAGGTAAAGAAACCTAGGGAGTGCTATCATTTTGATTGCATTTACTCGACCTAACATAGACAGTCTCCAGGACTCAATGTTGACTTTGAGTCTCTCTATCATGTTCAAATAATTCAGTTTATAAATTCACTTAGGGTCTTTAGGGATATCAACTCCTAAGTACTTGATTTTGTCCGTGGCAATGCAAAACGGCAGATTTTTAAGAAAATCTGGGTTTAAGTCTCCTGTAAGGGGCATAAATTCACTCTTATCCCAGTTTATAGTGTAACCAGATAATGTACCAAAAGTTTTGATAAGTTCAAGAAGGGAAAGGAGGGATTCTTCAGGGTGGGAGAGGAACAAAACTATGTCGTCCGCGTAGAGTGAAATACGATGATCAACTTTGCCTAAGATTAATGGAGCAATGGAGGGGTGGTTTCTTATACTAATAGCCAGGGGTTCTATGGCAATGGCAAATAATAAGGGGCTCAAGGGACAGCCCTGTCGGCAAGAGCGTTGTAAGGAGAAAGATGATGACTTATTATAATTTGTAATTACAGAGGCCTTCGGGGAAGTATATAGTATTTCGACCCAGGAAGCAAAATTATCTCCCAGGTCAAATTCTTTTATCACTGATAAAATATATTTCCACTCAACCTGATCAAAGGCTTTTTGGGCATCAATGTTGTTTGCATTTAAGTCTGATTGTGCTGAGGTGCTCAGTTTGGGTAAGTGAAGGGCACGCAGAAAATCAGAAATCTGTGCTGTATCAGCTGTGGTTTTAGATGTATAAAGGTCCTCATAAAACTTCCGGAAACATTCATTGAATTTTTTTCAGGTCCGTAGAAATATTACCTGTATTGGTTCTAACTTTATGAATTGTTCTGTTAGCCTGTATGCTTCTTAGTCGGCGGGCTAATAATTTATCTGTTGTTTTTTGTTTGTTTCCTTTCTGTATAACTATCACAACTTATTTATGAATTTTCCTCTTACCATCAAATTTAATATTTCTATTATTATTATTATTATTATTGTCTTTAGCCACCATTTTATTATGACTTATTTATTGATTTATTTCCTCTCCCCCCCTTATATTCATATCACATTCATCATCATAAATTCTCATCACAGCCACTCTCATTTTTCATGCATTTCTTTTTATTTTATTCATTTATTTTCTCTTTCTCTAATCCAGATGATTGTCTGTTTTTCTTTGGTTGCCTTGTTTTATTCATTATTTATGTATTTTCTGTTTCTCTTATAATTATAATTACTACTGCTATCACCCCGTGCCAACAAACCTTTGCTGTTTTTTTTTCTTCTTTTTACTATTATCATCATAATTACTACTGTACACTCCTGTAACAATTGCTTCCAATATTGATATTATCTCTATTATTTGCCATTATTCAATATTATTAGTATTTTTTTTTCTCTCTCTCTCTTGCTTTTTTTTATATATATATATATATATATATATATATATATACAAATACATAAAAAAAAACAAAAAACAATTGCAATGATAAAAATACTGTGCCTTAAAGAACTTAATCAGATGATACCTCCAAGCACCAACACAAACAGATCCCTCCCATCAGGTCTGGGGGTTGTTCAAGCTTGGCGGGAGGGTAGCAGTAGGCAACCCTATCAGCTGGCCCCCTCCGCAGGGTCTGGGGGCAGCTGAGACAGGGGCATCCCTGCATCACACAATGACTGAAGTAAAAAAAAAAAAAGATAATATATAGAAAGAGGGGGAGGAAAGGGGAAAGAAGAAAAAGGAGGCGAAGGGAAAAATAATGATAATAATAAAGAAAAGAAAAGAAAAATGAATGAAGGAAAGAAGAAGGACAAAAATATGGGTATAGAGGAAGGGAAAAGGAAAAAAAAAAGAAATACAAGCATACAGTCGAATTACACCCACACACACAAAACTGCAAAACGTTATTATTACTCCCTGCTTGCCTGTTTTGTTTTTGTCTATGCTGTGCATTGTATCGTCGTGTCTCCCCTGTCTCCTACATACTTTTGCTCTTGTCATGCCCCTCACTTGTCTTGTATTGTTCTGCATCACCTAATTAAAAAAAAAAACTACACATTTTGAAAGAAATGTGCTGGAGGAGCCAAATAAACCCAGAGGGGCTTGTCGAGTGGCCCTCCTAAAGAGAAACATGTAACACAGAGACATACTATTAATGTAGTCCAAGCAAATACAATAAAGCTAACAAGAACACATACTCCATAAGGTGTAAAAGAAAGCAAAACAAGAAAGAGACAAATTACATTTTTTAATTTCATCCTTTTTTTAATTTAGCCTATCATTCATCACTAGGCCAATGCCAAAAAATCCACTTCCTCTGTAAATATCACAACTATCTAGCCTAAATCTTGTTTCTATGGCAGCCTGAGCCTGAACAATATATCATCCCCTTCACACTCTTCATTGCATTATTGTCTCGTTGCGATTGTTGTGTCTTAAATATAGGCTGTAGCCTATTAAACTTTGTATCCATAGGCCTGTAAGTAGTAGTACAGTATTTTTCAGTTTTAGGTCAATGTTCTTGCATGGGCGGTTCTAGGCAGGGGCCAACAGGGGCCAGTGCCCCTGTAACACTGAGCTTGGTCCCCACTGTGGCCACCCTTCCAAAAGGAAGAGCCCCCCTCAAAACACATACACAGTATTTGACTCACAATCTAGTATTAAATTCAGTTACTGAAACAAATATAAATCATGGTATTTAATGATGCGTGCTATTATTTGGCATAATATGTATATACATTTTTTAAAGCATCTTTGTCTATTTTTGACCTGGGTTTAATGTTCCCCTCTGACAAAACAACTTGCCCCAATTTGGCCCCCTCAGTAAAAGTGGTCTAGAACCGCCACTGTGTTCTATGCAATGCAAAACTGGAGTCAAATTTCTTATATGTGCCCACGTACTAGGCCAATAAAACTAATTATTGTCGTAAAAAAAAATAATAATAAATGTGGAGAGCCTATCTGTTAAACAGTCTAATATAGTATTGTAGTCTCCCCCTGCTATTAAGTAGGTTGATAAATCCAGAATAAGGCTAAAAACTTTCCTAAAAAATCCAGGATCATCAAAATTGGGTGCATATATGTTCAATAACGTTACCTGCCGAGACAGAATGCAACCAGTAACTATAAGGTAGCGGCCATTTGGATCTGAAATGGTTGAAATGTGCTCAAATGGGATATTTCGATGGATTAATATGGCTACACCTCTAGCCTTAGAAGAAAAGGTTGACTGATATATCTGTGATATCCACCTGCATTTTAACGTCCATTGCTCCGTGTGTTTGATATGAGTTTCTTGGATAAAAATAATGTCTCCGGATAAAGATTTTAAATGGGAAAAAACCTTGCCTCTCTTTAAGTTAGTTCCAAGGCCTCTGACATTCCAGGTCAATAAAGGTCAAACTGCCACCTTGTGGCGAAACGAATGAATTACCGATAACCATGAAAGCATTGTTTATATTGAGACAGCCGTGTTATATAGTCAAAACCGTAACGGTTCTGATGACGCAGTGTAGAAAGAGCGAACAAAACAACAACAAAAAACACAATATATAGTACTGTATACATACAGTGAACCCTCCTCCCCCCATCCACTTCCCCAAACGAAGTGGCACTTGGATCCCCTCATAAACTTTGAGAGACAACTAAACACTGTAGGAAAGAGTCTTAATAGACAGTCTACGTGAGCCAATAATAACATGGTGTACATTACTGGTGGAGTTTCTGACCTGCTCCATCAGCCCTCGTATGTCCGTAACACTCATTAAAATAGGCAGAGTAGAACAAAACTCAGAACTCTTTTATTGTCTTGTGGAACCAGATAAACCCAGAGGCAGATCTTGCTCTGAGAGCAGCATCACGGTGAGCTGAAACGGAGGTTCCAACAGATCACAGGGTGGCAGCAGGTGTAATAAACCTGTCGATGAAAGCCTCGGCATCTGCAGGCTTCTGAAATAGTTTCTGCTCTCCGTTGAAAGTGAAGATCAGACCGTGTTTAATTCCTGCCTCTCTCAGATTCTTTTTAGCTCCCGCGAAGGCTCGGCGTTGTTCAGAAATCTCGGGTGAGAAATCGGGAAATACACTGATCCGGGACAAAGGAGATTGCAGGCGGGCAAGCTTCAGAATTTCTTCCTTCTCTGGAAAGTGGTGAATTTTGTCAATCATGGTGCGTGCACGTGAAGGTGAGGACTGTGTTAAGTAGCTAGCTATGTCCGCCCTGCTGCTAGCATCGTGGTCTTCCTCGGTGACAAGAGCAGCTTTACCATCCTTCTTGGAGGCAGATTTTGGATTTAAGGGTTTCCCCTTGGTGACATTTCTTCCAGAGCTGTTCATTTTTGAGAACTCTAGATGAAAGTGTGTATTATAAGCAAAATTTTAGCGAGGATGTGACAGAGCTCCACAGAAAGCGACTAATCCATGCAGTTCTCACTAGCGCCCCCTCTACTGTCACGTCTCTTAAAGATCCCATATTATGCCCTTTTTGGAGTTCGTATATTTAATCTATGTATCTACTTTTGTACGTTCACAATAGCTAAAGTCCGAAAAAAGTGTCTGTTTTCATGTACTGCTCCTCCTTGCTCCCTCTCTGCTCTGTTGAGCCCACACGGTTAGACCCCACGTGGGCCAAGTCTGCTCTGATTGGTCTGCCGATCCGCTCTGTCGTTATTGGTCAGTTGCTCAGCACGTGTCTCGGAAATTTCAACATGAGCTGCAGGGCTTGCCACAACGAGCCAATGGGCTTAGATCAGTGATCTCACACTGACAAATTTTTATCGAGGGGGGCTAGAACCAAGCGTTACATGCAGCTAATGCTACAGCTAACAGGAGGAGGTAGGAGAAGCTGCGTTTCCGCGGACTTTGAATTTTTGCACATAGATGTGCCTAAACATGCACAGGACACATGGAAAACACACTAAAGAGCATATAAAACCAGAAAAAGCATAATATGGGACCTTTAAGCCCAAAAATAAACCTTTTAAAGCAAAGAAAGATTTTATAACTTTGACCCCGAAGTAAAGTTTTTTAACAAGAATGGACTCGTGAGGTATTACAAATGTTGCTCCACAGCAGAGGAAATGGATACAGGCTGACAGTTTGACACACATACTTGTCGTGTTTGCTTGTGTTGTCCATTGTGTTTTTAACAGCTGAGGTGTGACTTGTGGTTTATAACAGAGAGGATCTTCTTGTTGTTTATTTCCTTATCACTGTCAGACAGACTCAGTCTGTTAATCTGAACCCATACGTGTTCTTGAGAGCACGCCTCAGAGTTCCCGTCAACACTTCTTCTGTTATCTACAGTTAGCCGCAAAATGTCGGCAGGTCAACTCAAGCTGAAAAAACGTTAAACTGAAGCTGCTGCCTAATGTGAGACAACAACATCCCGCTTTGTGTTTCAGAGAAGAGTGAACAATGGTTTATTCTTTAGCAGCTCATACTCTGAGTGTCACCATGGAGACGCATCATAAAACAGGACACTCAGGAGGAGGAAGGAGGATAATGTTTAAAATCAGTCATCTTATTTATAAGATATTCATACACTATTGATTCATAACTTCAAACTACTGCAAAACAATCAGTGATGTTATGATGAGTCCAAACTGCACAAAGAGACTCTCCAAGAGATGAGTTTAAAGATTATTGGTCATTATGTGCATCTGTCTCTGTTTGGAAGACGATGGTGTTCCTGTGGGGACTACTTTCTGTGCCGCATCACTCCCTCCTCTCCCTGTGACACTGTGGGCTCTGCTGCTGCTTCTCTGTGAGGCTGCAGACCTCACAGCTGGTTTCTCCTCCGCTGCAGACCTCACAGCTGGTTTCTCCTCCGCTGCAGACCTCACCGCTGGTTTCTCCTCCACTGCAGACCTCACCGCTGGTTTCTCCTCCGCTGCAGACCTCACCGCTGGTTTCTCCTCCACTGCAGACCTCACAGCTGGTTTCTCCTCTGCAGCTTCAGCGGGTCGACTCTCAGCTCTCTCACAGTCCTGTTTCTGGCTTCCTCCAGTAACGGGGCAGCTCTGAGACGCCGGTCGAGCTTTAGCTGCAGATGATGGAGGGTGAACACTGTTATCCCTCTGAAAAGAAGAACACACAGAGGGTTAAATCACACAAACTAACTTCATAAAGAAAAGAGGAGCATTCTCAGTCTTAGAAATTAAAAGTTTAATTCATGAGAAATAAACCAGAGCATGCTTAGCAGGTTTGCTGCTGCAGCAAAAAAATGTAAATATGAATGTTTGAAGCCTGAGTGAGGTCCCCCGTCTGTTCCGGCAGGGGGCGCTGGAGTCCCATCGATGGCGGTCTCCATGCTGGAAATGCTGTCTCAGTCTAACTTTCAGTCAACCTAACGACAGGCTGAGAGCTGGAGCTGAGGCGGGTTTTAAACCTCCTGACAAACCATTACACCACGCCCACCTGTCAATCAGGTCAGCTACACGCCTTATTGTGAATAACTCTTATCCTTCATCAAATCAAAACTGATGAGTCATCAAAACATTCACCCCCTGTACAGTGTGTGTCAATCGAGACATGAGCTAATCAGACCTATTTGTTTTTTGAACCAGGCTGTAAACATGTTAGTCTCTGCTGTAAAAACAGGCTTTTTAGAATGGGTGTGTATGTGACTTCCTGTGCTTCTGCAGCCAGCCTCTAATGGACACTCCAGGAAATGTAGGATTTTGCACTTACTCTTACTGATTGGACCTTCAAAACGGCTGCAAATGATGTAAAGATTTGTATGATTATGTATGCCTCGTACAGACAGCTGAGGACACAAAAATGTTTCCGATGTATTTCTGCAATTTATACAGTGTGCAGGAGATTGTCTCCAACTTTTTTTTTAAAGGTATTTTTTATGCTTTTACTCTAAAGAAAGGACAGTGAAAAGAGTCAGAAATCAGAGAGAGAGAGTGGAATGACATGCAGGAAAGGAGCTACAGGTCGTCCGCTCTCCAGGACTTGCCTACAGACGCCCCGTTTGTCTGCAACTTCTGATTGTTAAAAACAAGAAATAACCCAATATTAAGTGCGTAGGTCTTCTAGTTTTATTGTCATGGTATCAAACAGGTATTGTGTTTTTTGCTAGGATCATACCACAGTTTTAAATTCTGGTGTTGTGTCGACCCTAAGTGCTTCATTTTGTTTTGCTTTAATGGTTCACTTTCTCTGAAATGTTTGCAGGACTGTTGGATCACATGTTGAACCAAAGTAACTTAAAATAACTCAACTGTGACATGTTGAGAATTATGAGACTTCCTCTTCCAGGCACAGAGCGAGATCTGAGATCACAGCCAGCTTTTATAGTTTCTGATTTCCTGAGGCAACACAGGAGCTCGGTTAATTTCCTTCGCCTCTCCACGGGGACTCGGAGGCTCCGGTCGCTCCAGTTACTGGGAAACACAAAAACATTCTCCGGCTTGATGTTTTTAGCTTCACCTACACTCGTCATAGAAACCACTGTGTGACAATCAGATGGAAAGGCTGCAGACGTTTGGTTGGAGTCGAGAGGAGTAAACTGCCCTACAAAGGCAAAAGACCTTAACTCGCCAGAGTTTAGAACTGAGAAAAATGACTTCTTTTTGTTGTCCAGCGAAATGAGTTGCAGGCAGAATATTGGAAATGTGGCAATTCTTTGTCTTTTTAATGAGGTTATTAATGTTCATAAAAATCTTTAGCTCAAACATGACCTTTGACCCTTATTTGGAAGTTAAGGTACTCTGCCTTTGCATTGCCTGTACAATAATAACGGGTCATGCCAAGGCAAAAGGCTTTAACTTCCATTTGATACTGTATTTCACTTGGTTGCACGGTTAAAATAACACAACCAACACTATTTTTTTGCTACACTTTAGTCAAGCTACTGTGTGTGTCAGAAGTGCTTGATGACAGATATTAAAACAAAGGCATAACACCTTAACTCCACTGCAGTAAAACAGTAACTTCACTTTGATCCGCAGCAAAACAAAGGCAGAAGACCTTAACTCAGTTTGAGTATTCCAGAATGCTGCAATACAAAGACCCCGATGAGTGAAGTTACTGGACTCTGCCTTGGTTTCTCCAGGGCTTTTGGAAGTTAAGGCAAATACAACCTACTACTTTCTAAAAAAAAAAACAGCACAATTGACTCAAGATATCTGTCCACATAATAAAGAACATCTGTAATGTTCCAAAAATGACAAAAACTAATTTTTGAAAAAAATGAAGTTACTGCATTTTGCCTTTGTAAGGCAGTAAAGCTGGTCTGCTTTCCAGAGGGGAGGGGGTCTTTGTGTAGGTGCAACAAAGTCTGGAGACCACACTGCATAAACTCACATCTTACCAGGTGTATCAAAATCATGTCATTACACTTCATGGAAGCCAAATTCTCCTGACACGTCCAGATACACATCTTAGTTCTAGATATAAAAAGCAAAAAGTGAGGCCTGAGTTGGAGGAGTAGCAGAGAGAATTCCCCGCCTCGACCTCATCCTTTGTTATTGTTTTGATTGAGAGCCTCCTGGTGGTGGAATTGACACACTGTGTGTTTAAGGACAAAACTTAAAGTTACAAGCACACTGCTGTACACGTTCCAACTTACAAAAATACATAAACAGCAACAGCAAACACAGCAAACACACTGACAATGCCTCAGTAAATGTATTTTTGATAGTTAGGCATTGTGCTTGAGTTTCTTTTCAGTTCTTGCTGGACTCATTCCTCTCTTATGCATCTTATCTCATGTATTATATATGTGCAAAGTATTTTTCTACAATTTAAAGTACTGATTGCAGAAAATGTGCAACGCTGAAAACGACAAGCAGCCTGCTGAAAAAAGGCCAAATGGTTGATTTGAGGATAAGTCCCGCCTCTGACAAAACAAATAGCTAATCAGAAACCCTTTTCAGAGTGTTTTTTTTTTTTTGCAAAAGCGCGATAACTAAGCTCCGCCTTCATCACGTCTTTGAACGTTCATATTGTTTTCGCAACGGCATAATATTGGCGTCACAGTCTATGAGGTCACAGTCTGTTTCAGCGTTGTGGAAGCACGACACTGCAGGAGCTGACATGCACACACACGCACACACACACACACACACACACACACACACACACACACAGCACTACACCCCCCCCCCCCCCCCTCCCCTATATCTCCCCTGGCCAACCATCTAGACTCCCCTGTCTGGAACAACAAGCACCAAGTGAAACAGGTTTTATTACATTACATTCATTCATGTTTTTTTTTTTATGTTTTGCCTCTTCCTGTTTCTGGCACCTGACCTCACATCAGTTATCTGAGTGATCCTCTTCATCCGGCGAGCTAAACTCCTCATTATGTGACAGGTATTCAGCACAGCCCCTCTGAGAGTCCTAAGAAAACAACACTCTGTGTGTGTGTGTGTGTGTGTGTGTGTGTGTGTGTGTGTCTCCAACCTGCTCCCCTGCGTCTGAGGTCCTGCTGCTTGTGTGTGTCTGAGACCTCCCTGTGTGTTGGGGGTCGAACCCCCAGGACCTCAGCCTTCTCAGACCCTCCTCGGAGCGGCCCGTGGGGTTGACATGTCGGGCCGGGATACGAGGAGGTAGATCCCAGGTCCCCTTAAAGTCCGGCCACGCACTGCCTCCCTATATGCCCATAGCATTACAAACACACAGCACGGATATGAAGCAGAGGGTTACAGAAGTGTAAATATATTCATGTTTGTTTATACAAATGAAATGCCCTCCAGTGAACTCTGACCTCTGAAGAAAGACAGGTAAGATGTGCTCTCACCTTCACAAACCTGGCAGCAGGTGTCCTCTATCATCGGCTATGAAGGTGGTGTGTCCCTCCTGTGCAGTAGGTCTCTACACACACACACACACACACACACACACACACACACACACACACACAGACAGACAGACAGACAGACAGACAGACACACACACACACACACACACACACACACACACATGCGTGTGTGTTTTATTTTATTATTTTACAAGACAAATATAAATATGCATTGGTGTAGAAATGGGGGGAAAGAGGGGCACCAGCTCCTGCAGACTCTCCTCCAAACATGTAAATAAGTCAAACACTGCATGCTGCTGTAAAATAATAAAAGCTGTCGTCATAATTTCAGATGACGCCGCTACTTCATGAAACCAGAGCAGTCTGATAAATACCTCTTTGAACCGCTTCGTCTCACACCAGTTCTGCAGCTTCTGAGACCTGAAGGCGCTCTCATACTAAGGAGAGAGAGCTGAGATCAGGACGGAGCAGAAAAACAACAACATGATTCTTGTTTTTGATCACTAATCATGCAGGTATTCGTGTTACCTGGTTTGCCGAGTAACTGGACGACATGTTGCCTCTGCCTTCAGCCTGTTGTTTTTTGTTGACTCGTTGCTTAGCGACAAAATCAAACTGACCTCTGATTTCCAGAAGTTTCCAAGACACATTTTGTAACTTCAGTGCCGTATTTCTGAGGTAAATAACTGTTAATACGAAAAACACAAACAGAGCTGAAGTAATAAAAAATAATAATTGTGCACTTTGTTTTTGGAGACTGAAGCTGTTCAAATGTTTAAATGCGTGTTTAGCATAAAAGTTAAATACTGCTGCCTGATCTAGCCTACTTCTCTTCCCTTCATTTGATTTTTATTAGGTGTTAGAAATATTTTACTCATTTTATATTTTAATTAGGCTATAGGCTCTAGATTTGAAAACACATTTGACCTCTTTTAAAAATCTAAACCTCCGAAAAATCGGAAATTATGTAGGCTAAGACTAAGCTAGACATTTAAAACAAAGCCCCCTTTATTTTGTTAGCCTGCTATTTGTTTTTTTTATTCAAAGTTTATATTTGTTGTACATAAATCCAATTTTATGTATTTATTAAGGCCTATTTATTTATTTATTTAACATTGACGCTTTGTCGGTAATTTGGAAACATATGTTCAGATATTATAAATAAAAAAGCATCTGTACAAACAATTTAAACCTGAATAAGTTTTATTTTTAACGATTATTCTTTTCTGTTGTGTTTTTCAGCATTTAGTAAAACATTAAACACAAACTCATGAATTATAAACATTTCAAAACAAGACAAACAGCCTGATTAGGTTTAATGAGGTATATTAACTTAAATTATTTTTATTTATTCTCCAAAGATTCTCAAACTGACCGGAATAAAGTTTTATTACGTAAAATATGTTCTTGTGTATCGTAAAGTTTGTTGTGTTTATGCAGAACAAATAGGTTAAATTTGTATGTAATAATAATGTGATTATAGATTAGGCCTAATTATATTTAGTTTTTAAAAAAAACTTGAAAATCTTATTTCAGTCTTTGAAGAAACTGGGAGAGATAAATGCCTTAAAACTCAGAGATTAACTTGATTCCTTTACACTGAAGGCTCACAATGCTTATTTTATTTTATCTTTATCGAATTGTTTTTATTTAAACGTTTCATTTATGATTTAATTCACTAGATTTCTTGCATATTGATCCTTAAACACTTTATTTTCAGATCTTAATTAATCACTAATAACTTGTTAACGCTGGCAGGTTTAGAAGAAAATACCTGAATAACTACATAAAATATTTGGAGTTTATATGAATATTAATCACGGGGGGGATATGATCAGCTAACAGTAGGGGGCAGCATGGCGCCGTTCTATCCGCGTGTCCACAGAAACAACCGAAGAAGAAGAAGAAGACTCCGGTTAGCATGTAGCATGTAGCTCTGTTTAGTTCGGCGGTCAATCTAAACCTGCCGAGACTTTAACTTTAGTTTAACATTTTAATCTCCTACATGTTCATATTCACTCTAAAGCAGACACTTGTGTTAAAAGCAGCGCAGTTATCTGTTTTAAAACCCTCCTAGACTCTGGTGTGTGATGATGGAGGGTCCGTCCTCTCGAGTCCTCTCCACCCCGGACAGACCGCCGTGTCCCCCGGGCAGGAGAGACTCCGGCGGGGTCGCAGAGAGTGAGTCTGCCCGGGACATAAAGACACACTTCCGAGTGTGTCGCTTCATCATGGAGACAGGTGAGCTCTCGTCTAACACACCTGTGTGTTTGTTTACATGTTCTGCTCACATGCAGGTGATGAAACACTTTACTGACAGGAAATAATAAATTAAACAAAACATGAAAGTGATGCATTAAATACAAAATAGTCCGCATGGTGAGATATTAAGTGAGATGTGAGGATTTAGATGGAAGTGAACTGACACCTCTCCAGCTACCAGACCTATTTCCTGATTTGATCTTCTCTGGGACTTGAACCGGCAATCCTTCTGTCCCTATGACTGGGGGCGGCTGGTGACAGAGAACTGCTAGTTTAATTCAGTGAAACTCAAATGAAATGCTCTTTGACTGGTGAATAAATCGAGTAATATCGGTGCATATCGGAGATAAAATTAGCCGATACCGATAGTCATTTGGTACGCTCATATCGGCCAATATTATCAGTTTGGCTTTAACCAAACATTGCAGATGATTGTGTGCAGGAGTGTGTCTCTCCTTTGGACCTGTCAGAAGACGTTTCCTAAATCCTAATCTGTCCCTCCTCCTGGTTCAGGTGTGAAGCTGTGTATGCGCTCTGTTCCCGTGGCCACAGCGTGCGTGTTGTATCACCGTTTCTTTGAACGAGCGGGCCTGCGGGATTATGAACCGTACCTGGTGGCCATGAGCTGTCTGTACCTGGCCGGGAAGGTGGAGGAGCAGCACATCAGGACCCGTGACATCATCAACGTGAGCCACAGGTAAATATGACTGAAGAAATCCTCCTGACCTGTTCACACATGATGCACCTCACAGCGAGTGACTACAGAGAGAAACATTCAGCTGTTTGTGTTCACACATGATGCTCAGAGTGAACACTTACCCTAACCTTGTATTGAAATCATCTGAATCTGAAAACTTCTCACCCCCCCCCCCCAAACAGGTATTTTAACAGCAGCAGCTCTCCGCTCGAATGTGACAAGGAGTTCTGGGACCTGAGGGACAGCGTGGTGCAGTGTGAGCTCCTCATCCTCCGACAGCTCAACTTCCACGTCTGCTTTGAACACCCGCACAAGGTGCGTGTGTCTGATCAGCTCTGTATATGTTTACACACTCTCCCTGCACTTCCTGCTGGCTGTGCTGTTTGTTTATATTTATTATTATTGTTTGTAAATAACCGTCTCCGTCTCTCTGCAGTACCTGCTGCACTACCTGCTCTCTGTGAAGTCGCTTGTGAACCGTCACGCTTGGTCTCGGACCCCCGTCGCTGAGACTTCCTGGGCGTTGCTTAGAGACTGTTACCACGGAGGCATGTGCATCCGCCACATACCCCAACACATCGCCATAGCGACACTGTACCTCGCTCTAAACAGCTATGGAGTGGAGCTTCCTGTCGGGGAGAGAGAGTGGTGGCAGGTGTGTGTTTGTGTGTGTGTTTGTGTGTGTGTGTGTAAAATGTGACAGATCGTCACCTTTATTTAAAGCGACAGCAGCGTGTTTAAAAAAAAAAGAAAACAGTCATCTGCTGACATCCAGCACGTGTGAAGAAACATGAAAACATTTTCTCTGCCTCGCTCTGAGAGTCACTTTAAAGGTAAATTCTGATTTAAAGAGGAAACAATGAAATCAGTGAATCAATCTTTTTACAGCTTTTCTCTTCAGGATCTCTGATTTTCTTAATTAACCCAAACATCAGAGAGAACTTGACAGAGACAATTAATAAGTCAAACTGTCACTCTGTCAAACAATCAGTTTTAATCACGATTAATCACATTTTTAGTCGTATATTTGAAAGTCCATTATTTTGCATTAAAAGTAAAAGTTGTTAGGAATTTATTTTGAATTTTTTTCTTACTGCCGTGCGGCCCGCAGCATCCTCGTTTCACACAGATCTTTTTATCAATCAGCTGGTTCTCTAAATGTTACGTTCGGTTTAGGCACCAGTGCAATTTTGTTTACGCCTGACCACGACCTGACTTGTGTTGGTTGCCTCCCTGCTCCGTGGTCGTCATCGTTAAAATTGAGTTCATTCCTTTTTTCAGTTCCAGTGACAGCCCTAGCTGAAACTCTAAAATGACAGACACAGATTTAGTAGTTTTAGCTCGGCACATGTGTCTTTAACGCTCCTCTTGCAGCCCATCTTGGTGTGGTCGTGCACAGGGACCGTCCAGCTGCAGGTCGTCCTCACAGCGGACTGCTGGCTGCTGATTGGACGATGGTGACGGTTAAAGTATCCTTTTGTCAAACAGTTTTTCCAAACGAGCTCTCTTTGATTTTCTGACTCACTGGAACCGAATGCAAATGGAAAAAAAGTCAGAATTAGTCACAGTGATCCACTTCAGTCCTCCAGGCGCTGAAATCTGGGTCGTCTGAGACGCGTGTGCACCTTTGAAGTGTGTGCTGTGTGTGTTGTCCAGGTGTGGAGCTAATGTGTGTGTGTGTGTGTGTGTGTGTGTTTATGTGTATGTAGGTGCTGTGCGAGGACGTGACCAAAGCCGACATCGACGCTGTGATCTCAGACCTTCTGCAGCTCTATGACATGGAGGCCAAGTGTATCTGAAGGACACACACACACACACACACACACACACACACACACACACACACACACAGGACACAAAGGACAGCTGTTTTTCCCCGTGTGTGTGTGTGTGTGTGTGTTTCTACATGTGAGTGTGACGATCCAGGTGTGTGTGTGTGTGCAGAGAGAAGACTTTGTGTTGGCCCAGTTATTCTGTGAGCTGTGACACACACTCTGCTGCACTCCTGGTTCCTGCCACCCCGGGGAGACATTTCTCTGTGCTGAATACTGATGAGCTCCGAACAGCAGCAGCAGGTTTCAGGTACCTGTGCACGCACGCTGGAGGAAAATCATCAAGTGTTCAAACCCCGAACCGATCAGAAATCCCAACAAATGTGTAGAAATGAAGAGATGGGGCCCTCATTTGGATTATTCTTGACCTCATCCTCAAACGTTTACACTTCGGGCTGATGTAAAACAATAAGAGGTTTAGTTATGCACCAATCTGCTCGACTAGCGTACAGGTGGCTAGCAGGATTACAAACTCCACCTGGTGGACACAGACGGTACTGAAAGAGCTTCAGAGCTGAAAGTAACTGACCGATGATGAACACGCTGGAGATCATCTCACAGGATCTACTTTGTAATCATTTGTACTTATTTGACATTGTTGTTAATAAACTCCACGATCTGTACGCAGATAGTTTTTCTTTTGAAGGATAAATGGATGAACGTGTGGGGCAGCTTTATTAATCAATCACATTTCAGCTGTGAGGTAATTCAACGTGCTTCACATAAGACGTCAAAAAACACAATGAGAGAATTTACAATGTGATTTAAAAACTAGCTGATAAAGAGGCTCAAATGAAAGGAAAAACAATTGATTTCAATCAATCTTTTTTTGCCAATTCATAACAAAAGTGATCTGGAGACACTTTACAATAGAGCAGGTTAAAGACCTTACTCTTCTCTCGTTCCTGTTGTTCACACTTCCTCTCCGTTGAGGTCGGAGCATCATGGAGGACGGCGGTGGTTGTGGGGACGATACAGTCTGAGGGTGGAGGCTGGGCGTCAGGGACGTCGGTTGGTAGTAGTGACCGATGAGCTCGCTGAAGGTTGGTTAGCTCTGTCTGCTCGAGGGCCTGACTTCTGCTGCCGGGACGAGACCTCCTGAGCTTCTAACACGCCGACGCCAGCGACAAACATTTGAATTTAAAACAGCTGAAATATGATGAGAAGTTTAAAGTCACCATCAATCAACAGTCAAAGAAAGAAACAAGTTCTTTATCAAATGTGACGAGTTACTCAATATCTACACTTTCACTAATGGAAAAAAGAGAGAGTGAGAGATGGAGAGAGAGATGGAAGGGGAGAGGGAGGGTGAAAAAGAGAGACACAGAGGGAGAGAGACAGAGAGGGAGAAAAAGAGAGAAGGACAGAGAGAGAGCCGGGGAGAGGGGATGAGGACGTGCGGAAAGGAGCCAAGTCGGACTTGAACCTCTGGGCCTCCTGCCCCGAGGACTCCCGCACGAACAAACCAAACGGCCTTGATCCCTTTTTTCTGTCCTCATACAGAAAGAGTAAAAACAGAACGTCAACAGGTTTATTTCTTTACGATAAGTAAAAGGAAAAGAGAATTCAGGTTCACTTCTGTGATGTGAATCAGAGCGACCGCCACGGGATGAAAGCCGAGGGGGAAGGCCGCACGCTGCAGAGTGTGAACATGGAGAGAGTGGAGGTGACTGGAGGACTCATCGGAGAGATGATTTAGTGTAAAGAAACACACAGATCATAACAGCGTGGAATCTGACTTCAGTTTTCTAATCCTTGCCGCTGCTCAGCTCTGATTATTTTTAGAGTCCGACTACACCTTTCTGTATTCATCATGTAAACCAGGTGTGTGTGTGTGTGTGCGCGTGTCCAGGATAAAGGAGAGTCAGATGATCGCTCTGACACATCCCTTCTCCTCCTCGTGTATTCTGCCTCTCTTGGCGGGACTAGAGACATTGCGTGCATCCTAACAGCATCACGTGTTGTACAATATTCCTCTTCCTGACACATTCTCTCCCTCCTCGTCTGTCACTCTCCTCCAGCTCCTGTTTTCTCTCCTCCCCTCCCCCCTCATGTAGCTGCTGGGGGAAAATCTGTCTGTCTTTAGCTGCTCCTCATTTGCTCCTTTCCTGTCATCCTGCCTTCACCTTTTTCTCTCCTCCCTCCACTCCTCCCTGACTCTCCTCTGTCCTCTCCTCCCTCCTGTCCTCCCTCCTCTCTCCCTCCTCTCCTCCCTCCTCTCTCCTGTCTCCTACATCCTCTCCTCCCTCCACTCCTCCGTCCTCTCCTCCATCCTCTCCTCTGTCCTATCTCCCTCCTCTCCTCTGTCCTCTCTCCCTCCTCTCCTCTCTCCTCTCTCCTGACTCCTGCATCCTTCCTCTGTCCTCTCTCCTGCATCCTTTCTCTGTCCTCCTGTGTCTCCTCCCCTCTCTCTCTCTCTCCTCCCTCTGTCTCCCTAATGTTATATTAATAATGGAGAGGGTGCATGTTCAGCCAGACTTCATGAATTATCCATCAGATGGGAAGGAGTCGGGAAAAAGAGAGTGACATGGATGGATGAGGAGAGGAGGATGTATGGGAAGGAGGTGGGAGGAGAAAAAAGGAGGTGAAAAATGGCGAGCGTATCTTTTGTGTCACACTTCAACACTTCGCAGGCCGCTGTGATCGCCGCTCGTCTCTGCCGCGTGCTTCTGATCTGCTTACACATCACTTCAGCCTTTTCTGTGGGCCTGAGGGGAAGTCAGAAGGTCACACACACGACCAGCTGTGTGTGTGTGCGTGTGTGTGTTTATATCCAAATGACAGTTTGGGATGTTAATGTTATATCAGGCCTGCAGTCTGAGAGCTGAGTGCCCTTGAACTGATAAAAGCTCTGCAGCCTCAGACCTATTAGACATCAACCGAGCACTCCTAAACACTCTAATGCCTAATGCATAGACAATAGATTTAAGAGTGTGTGTGTGTGTGTGCGCGTGCGTGCATGTGTGTGTGTGCGTGTGTGTTAGTATAGAGGGATGGTGAAGTGCAGACTTCATGATTCATCGTCCATGTAAACAGAGAGATGATAGATGGACGGGTCAGCAGAGTCACTTTAACCCTTCACACCCCACAACAATATCACGACGGTGACTGGAGCTGTGACAAGCTGTGTTTCACCTGCAGACTGTAGAGAACATGGACGTAGTCTCAGCGGTTTCTGAGGAGGAGTTTTGAGGGCTAACGATGGAGGTCGACATGTTGGAAATGCTGATTCAAACTAGATCAGAGTTTGGGCCCAAAAAATCCAGCCGTGACCAACCTGAGCCGTCTCCCTCGGGCCGGACTGGACTTTTTTTTATAAGTTACTTTTTATGGTTAAAGTTTGAAGTTGTTTGAATGACAGAAATCTGTTTAGATGAGATGTATTAAATTGAAACCGGGATTAAAACACTTGTCAAGGCATCCATCAGTGCGAGCGGTACACTGAGCTGTGGAGCTCTGTGGTTCTGTGTCTCTGCCCGTCTGCTCCTGAGCAAGTCTGGATTTTCCGCCCTCCGCCTGGTTCCTGTCATATTTCACTGTTGGACACTTTGCTTGTCTGTGTGTCTGTGTCTGTGTCTGTGTCTGTGTCTGTGTGTCTCACTTTTCTGTTCCTGGGTCCGGTCCGCTCGAGCCCTCTGATTATCACAGCGTCCTTCTGTAGGACACAATCCTTGAATATAAGACCAGCCCCGGCCTGGGGGAAATCAGTCCGATAAGCCACGCCTCTAATCCAATTAATGAATACAATTTTAAAGCCGAGGTCAGACTACACGCTACAAACACGGTTAGCGCCCCCTCCTGCAGATGGAGGGTTTCGAGACCCGTCTACGTTGAAAATCGATCGTTTTATGGTGTGAAGTGTCTCATAGTGAATGACAAAAAAAAGCCACATCCGGGACGCCTCTCGACCTCCAGACAGAAAATCGAGCATGTTTGATTTTCTGTTCTGTGATGTCAGATCTGTTAACCAATGAGAGCACAGAGCGCTCTGCTCACGCTTAAGTCACAAAGAAGCTGCGTCTTTAAGAAGACCGGGGCAAACTTTTTGTAGTTTTGTTATCCTATGTTAGCTTGCGTACTAATTGGGGACATAGCTAACGTAGCTAACATAGCAACACAGGGCTCTTAAGCAGAACAAAACTCATCCAGACTCAAGACTTTTGTTCTTTGATGAGCTAACGTTACAAAGATCAAAAACAGGAGATCTTAGCAGTATAGCTAAGTTTCAGCTAGCTAGCTTACACACGGTTCTTTGCTAGCATGATCAATAAGACAGATTTATGTATTATGACAAACTGTTGATCAATGATCCCGCTAACAGTTCAAAGCTAACATGTAAAAAGTACTCAGTGTTTCCTCTGATGTCCAGGACACTCGCTCACTCCTTCTCTAACGGCCACAGCTGACATTTATGACCATTAGTTTCCAGAGTCTCTACCTGGTACCTTCATTATTCAGAAGCATGGACAGGACAGCTACATTTCTAGCTTGTAGTGAAGATGTGTTATTTACTACAGCCGTCCTCTAGAGGGCACTCTATCATGTTCAATCCACCGTCTGAGCATCCAAAAGAAGAAGGTCACTCGCTCTCTCGGTGCATCGCGTCGCAAGTTTTAAGCAATAAATTAGTGTCATCCCAAAGTTTTACGATCACTGCAGCGGAGAGTTGTTGACACATTTAGGTCTTCAGGTGGGCTGACCCTGCAGCCATGTAGCTAGCATGCTAAACATCAGACAATGCTAACTAATCTGCTTCATCAGGCTTGATCAGATTTGATTGACAGTGGCCTGAAAACACGAATGCTCAACCCCACAGCTGTCACCACATTTCAACTCACATGCTGTTAAACTCTGACGGACAAATGAGACGTTTACCTTTACCGACCGAGTCCAACACACGCGAGACAAAAACACAGCGACTGAAGAGTTTCCTGTAAATTACAGAGACCTTCTTAATCTGGCAGAAAATGTCAGAACTCTAAAGAAGAAGTGATTAAAATGTTTGCAGGGCCTTCAATGTCCAGAGGAAATCCAGAAGGTTTCTGAATGAGTCATATTAAAGATGGCTGAAGAGGAGAAATCTGTGTGTGCACATCTTCAGCTCAGAGGAAATCATGTTCACATTTCAGTTAAACACTTTAGATTTTAAAGACTTCAGTTTGAGCTTCTTAGTTTAGGTTTTTTTTATTTTAAACTTCATGAATAAGTATAAGCTTCATTTCTGGAGTTCTGTTTGTTAGGGTTTATTTACCATCCATCCATTTCTCCATCCAACTATCTGTTCATCTCTTCATCCATCCACAGACTGTCAATCATACCTACCATCCATCCATCCGTCTGTTCATCAATCATCCGTTTATCCATCCAACTATTCATCCATTCACCTGTCTGTCCATCCATTTATCCATCTGTTCATCCAACCATCCATCCAACTGCTCATCCATTCACCCTTTCATCCATCTACTTCAGTGAAAAGTTTTCACTATCCAAAGTTATTTTTCATGAACTCTGGAGACTCACAATTTTTCATTTCTAGCTCCATCATCAGGAAACTTTTAAAGAATCCAAATTCAGCTATTTACACATTGTATGTAATGTCCTTCACAGTTTGTGTAGAAGCTGGTTATGTTATATTACAGTCTGCTTTATGAGTTATGACACAGCTGTAACCTGTGTCTGCTTTATGTTTTATTTATGTTGCTAACTCTTCAAATTAACTGTGGAAGCCGATCTGGGAGTTTCTTGTTGTTGGGATGGGACTGACTGGTCGGGCTGCATGACACTGAGATGATCTTAAAGCCAGCTGTGTGACTCTTACCTGACAGAACTCCTGTTCTCAGAACATTTCACTCCTGTGGCTCTAGATGTTTGGACATAGAAAGAGGACATTTTTATGAATATTTGTGCCATTAATAAAACACAGAGTGTGTGTGATGTTCTCGCCTCTGGGAGATGATGTGTGGAGACGATCAAGATAAGAGGAGCGAAAGATAAGATCTGCAACAAAGCTTTTCATCCAGATGTGTGTGTGTGTGTGTGTGTGTGTGTGTGTGTGTGTGTGTGTGTGTGTGTGTTTGTGGACAGCTAAGTCTGTGGTCCGTCTCCGTGCTGTGTGGAGGATATCTATTAATAAGTTCATCTTGATTCATCTATAAATACATTTCTCCTCTTTCTCCTCACACAGCCACGCTGCATAACAAGCTGTGACAGTAGCCAGTTGGGTAACGACATGCATGTAGATCGTGGTGTGTGTGTGTGTGTGTGTGTGTGTGTGTGTGTGAAATGCTAACTTGACTCTTCGTTCTGCAGCAGCTCTCTTTCAGCACATTGGACAGCTCCTCAGGGCTCTGCACAGGACAGAGGAGGAGGAGGGTCTGTGGTTCTTGTAACCCGGGTCATCATTGTGTTTAATCCTGCAGACGGAGAACTGTGGACCAATCAGACGTTCCCAAAGGGGGGACCTGTCCTGTGGCGCTCTCTGAGTGAACCTAAACCGTCCCCAATAGAGGCAATGTGCACGTTTTTTGCCCTCAACAGAGCAGGGTCGTCACACTACCAGGATGTTGAAGTTCAATATGATTAACAGAATAATCAAACCACATAGATTCCTGCAAACTGTCTGAACTGGTTCAGAACTTTGGCAACGTTTCAGTATCAACACTGTAGCCTAAGTGCATTTTTACAACTGAAAACAGGTATCATGTTGTTTCTACTAGAATCATATCAAGTTGAGTTTTCTTAATCAAAACTTGCAGGTGAACAGGTGAACTACAATGTTCAGGAGTTCACCTGCAAGTTAATAATGGATGCATTCCTCTCCAACACACCTGTCTTACTTAATACATGAAGGTTATTGTTCTGGTCCTTTTGATACTATCGATAAGAGGGCTGCAGAAATCATTCACTACATATCTTACAGATCCTTTAATGAAATGGAAAATACTTCAAAATATTTAAACTAAAATATAAGGTGAAACACTTCTGGACTTCACTTCTTGTTTTCTGTTTGATGAAATATTTTGGCGTCTAAAATGTTTGTTTTTTTTGGCAACAAGTGAAATGTTTGTCCAGTTGACCTCCAGGGCCACCATGCAGGTGTGGAGTCATTTGAGAAGCATCCTGTTACACCTGAGTCTCTCACCTTCAGCTCGTGTGAGTGATGAGCAGCACGTTATTGTTTTGATCCTCTTAATGTGTAATTTAAAAAATAAAAAGATGGCTCTAAACACAAACTGACAGCGTACACTGCGGTGTGTCTGCTGACGTCATCACGCCATCGAGTAGGTGGGGGGTGACGTATAGAGCCCCCCCTCCCTCGCTCGATTCCTCTCGCGGATGCTGCGACCGAGCTCCTGTGCGCGCGGGCTCTCGCAGCGGCTCAACCCCTCCTCCTCTTCCTCCTCCTCCTCCTCTAAAGATGTCGCATGAGCTTCTCCTCTCGCCGCGCTCTTTCTTTTCTTCTTTCTTTTCTTACCCTCCCGCTGTCCGCACCACTTAACCGGATACGGTCACGTTAGCAGCCCGGTCCTGGTCTCCCCCCCTCCCCACAGCGGAGGTGTTTAAACCCTCACCCGGCGCATCCTCTCTCTCTCTGTCTCTCTATCTCTCTGTCTCTCTCTCTCTCTCTCTCACACACTCTCTCTCTCTCTCTCTCTCTCTCTCTCTCTCTCTCTCTCTCTGTGTCTCTCTCTCTCTCTCCTCCACCGCCGCAGAACTCCGCCGACCGACCGTCAGGTGACCGCGCGGAGCGGAATATTCATCAGCACCGTCGTCGTCTTTCATCTCTCCGCTCATTTGGACTCCAGGAGACCGGAGCCTCCGCAGCCTGCCCCCTCTGTGTCCTCTCATCCGGCCTGGGACATTCTCCGCTCCGCTGGCCGCAGATTAACGGGGATTCTGCCTCCCCGCCTGCGCGCTGATGCTGATGTCCTTGAGCTCGGCCTGCACGGTGAGTCCGTGCGTGCCCGCGTGCGTGACTGCTATTTACCCCGGGCGCCCGCGCGCCGTTTAGATGAGGGCAGATGTGAGGGGAGATGTGATGCTCGCGCACCGGGTCGGGGGGGTTTACCGGAGTTGAAATGTGAGAGAGGCCCGGTGCGGCTCCGCTCAGGCCCAGCAGCTGATCAGCGCTCATACAGTAGGACAGACCATAATACCCCGACACATTATCACGCACTGTGTGTGTGGGTGCGTGTGTGTGCGTGTGTGTCTGTTTGTGTGTGCAGCTAATGATACCATCCCTCCATCCTCCGTGTCCGGTGTGTGACGGAGGGCGGTCCTCCTCCCGGTGTCTTCGGTGGCTCGCTGTATCAGTCGGTTGTTTGTCTGCAGGGGGGTGCGTTTGATCTGCTCATGATCTGAGGCCGGGGGGACCTTCACGAGCCGCCCGGTGCCGGAGCGGGCCCGGGCCAGTCACCTTGCGGAGGGACACCGGGCAGTGTGTGTGTCGCACCGGGTTGCAGAGTGTGTGTGCCCTCAGATTATGAGCAGGCCTGCGGAGACCGCGCGGGACCTGCTGCCGCTGTGTGAGGATGAGGAGGAGGAGGAGGAAGAGCAGGCACGTCTGAAGGTGACCAGGAAAGGTCGTTCTGTGGGAAACACACTGTTGCACGGGGCCATTTCTGCAAGCACGTGCACGGATGATGTGTGCGTGTGCGTGTGCGTGTGTTGGCTGTGAGTGGAGGTGGGAGGGACATGGGATACCGTGTGTGTGTGTGTGTGTGTGTGTGTGTGTGTGTGTGTGTGTGTGTGTGTGTGTGTGTGTGTGTGTGTGTGTTTTTGAGACAGAGTGGATCGGTGTTAATGGAGACTTACTTTTCTTTTCTTCAATTGTGTGTGTGTGTGTGTGTGTGTGTGTGTGTGTGTGTGTGTGTGTCCACCTGTAATGTCTCCATCCTCTGAGTGTGTAATTCCTGCTGGGCTCTTCAAGAGTGTGACTGGCCCCCCCCACTGCTACCAGAGGTGACCCTCGTTACCTGACAGGAAGTAGGTCTGCAGGTGCACAGGTGGGAACATGGGGACGACACAGAGACAGATCAGGAGTACACACATAAGCGTGTGTATGTGTGAGTTTTTTTTTTTGGGGGGGGGGCACTTTCTCTTAAATGATAATCTGGTTTCTGCGTTGCTCTGAGCGATGGAGTGAGGCGTGCAGGATGAATGGTCGGGCCGGTCTGAGGATTGTGGTGACCTTTTGTGTGACTCTTTTCATGTTCAAACACACTCAGCCCCCCCTCCCTGTGTGAGTGTGAGTGTGAGTGTGTGTGTGTGTGTGTGTGTGTGTGTGTGTGTGTTTGTGTGTGTGTGTGTGTGTGTGTGTGTGTGTGTGTGTGTGTGTGTGTGTGTGCTAATGTCATTTAACACACACAGTGTGTGTGCTGCACTGTATGACACATTAGTGTGTCATGACAGAGATCATAGAAGTGATGTCTCTGGGCGTCACTGTCTTTGTGTGTACATCCATGACGCTGCGTGCTGTGGACAAAGACAACTGTACGTGTGTGTGTGTGATTATGAAGGCGTAACAAATTGGGAAACAAAGTGGGCTTTTTTGCAATTTATGTAATGCTGTCTCACGTGTGCACACACTTCCACATGTGCAGTGTAACATCAGAGGCCTGACACACACACACACACACACACTCTGTCAGAGTAAGTTGCAATAGTTGGGAGGCTGAACAGAAGAGCTTTTTCTTGCCTGAGCGTTATAAAATCAGACAGAATCAGTGAGTAAGAGGCCGAGCCGGGAAGAAAACTCGCGACTGGCCGAGTAAATAAATGATTGCAGGAGCAGGAAGCAGATAGATAGAGGGAGCGACAAAATTAGGGAGGCAGGAGGGGTAGGAGTGGGGGGGGTAGGGGGGGTCGAGGAAGGTAAAATAATAACAAGCAATGAGACGCCAAAAGACGTGGAGAAGAGAAAAAAAAGAAGAGAGGGGGAGCAGACAGAGAGATGAGAGAGCAGAGCGGGAGGAGGCTTCAAAGGCAGAGCGGGGTGACTCAGTCATAAACTAACACTCTCAGTCAGGATGGAGGCATGGCAGGACAGAGAGGGGGAGGAGGAGGAGGGGGAGGGAGAAGAGAAGACAAATTAATGATGAGCTTCTCTTCTGCGTCTTCATGTTCATGTAAAACATCCTGATAGACAAACAGAAAGCGTTGTGTCATGTGTGAGCTGCTCGTGTGGGGCGCAGCTCCGTCATCCCCGCTGATTGATTTTAAATTAAATCAGTTCCAGAGATGGAGGAAATGTTAATTCGGTGATTAGGAAATTATTTTACAGTGGATTCAACAAAAGCGGCTCGCTTCAGGAAATTTCACAAGCTTTTTATTAAAGTGAACAAATGGAAGTTGATTTAATGTCGAGTACAACACACTGACATGTGCAGGCTGATAGCAGCAGGTGTGTGTGTGTGTGTGTGTGTGTGTGTGTGTGTGTGTGTGTGTGTGTGTGTGTGTGTGTGTGTGTGTGTGTGTGTGTGTGTGTGTGTGTGTGTGTGTTGGAGAGGAGCAGACCTCGGTGGGTAGTTTTTTGCTCCTGTTAGACACCTGCAGCATTCAACAATAAACACTGGAGAAATCCCCAGACACGAGTTGGACTGATGCTGTTGGCGTCTGCTGTTGTTCACAGCCGCCCCAGAGAGATGATGAGCCCTAAGAATGTGTGATAAACATCTTTATATTATCTTTAAGTTAACAGCTTTTTCAGGATTCTGTCATTAAAGGAGGAGTCAGTAGAAATGTTTGTAAACATTCAAACATGGCCCCTCCTCCCCCAGAAGCTCCGCCCCCTGCAGGATGTAGTGTGTACGTTTACTGCTTGTATCTACACTGCAAGCTAACACACGCTATCACAAGCTAACCGCCGGTTTTTGTCACCTGCCTGTCCAACAGGACGTACTCCACGTCCACGGGTAAAAGGCAACACAAGGTTCACCCTCGTTTTAGAACGAGCCTTATCCACTTGGTGTTTCTCCTCACTCTGATTATATTTTCTCTTCTTTGCTGCTACGTCCACGTCCGTCATATTCACCGGTTTGAATTTCATCCAATCACTGAACTGTATCCACTCCTAAACTCACCTGCTGCGCTGTCATTGGCTGGAGGAAACACACCAGCTCCGCCCAGAAACGTCCCGAGTCAACCAGAACAAAGCAGGACAGTAAAATCCATTCAGAGGACAGAGTCTCTGCAGACACAGTCACCACCACACATGTATGGAGGCCCAGAAGGGACGATGGAGCAGCTTCACTTTAGGAGAAGTCTGTGTTTTATTTTGAAGGAGACAGGATACTGACTCTATCTTTAAGTAAAAACAGCTTTACTTTAGGAGAAGTCTGTATTTTATTTTGAAGGAAACAGCCAGCTTTACTTTTGGAGAAGTCTGTCTTTTATTTTGAAGGAACCAGCCAGCTTTACTTTAGGAGAAGTCTGTCTTTTATTTTTGAAGGAGAAGTCTGTATTTTATTTTGAAGGAACCAGCCAGCTTTACTCTAGGAGAAGTCTGTATTTTATTTTGAAGGAACAAGCTGCTGACTCTTTGAAAGGATACTCTATGAACCATTATCACATTATGTAGTGTGATAAACGGGGGCGTCTCGAGGATATTTGGGCCTCGCCGTATAAGTTACCCTTTCCTCCACGGGGGAGTCAACCCCCCCACCCCCCCTCTGCTACGCCCATATAGATAGATATTTAGGCTGTCAAATTATTTTGGTTACTTTGATATTATTCAATATCACATGAGCTTTAAGACAGTAAATGAATTCCTCTAAAACTGTAAATATTGGGAGTCTAGGACTGTTTGTGGTGTTAAAGAGTTATCGATGTCGTTTCTGTGCTGGAGCTGGATTTCACTCTGGAAGCGGCTTTAGTTTGCTGGATGTAAGTGGGCCATATTCACGTATTGATATTATGTCTGTGTTGTGTTTGCAGGTTGTTAGAGTGAAGGTTTAAAGCAAAGGTGTTTCTATAACGTGCATGGTTCAGTCATGTCGACTTGTTTTTGAACCTCGCAGACACTGGCGTTTGTTCAGATGGAGACGGGCGCTCTAGCAGCTGATATTTACTCTCTGCAACAGTCGCTCAGGTTTTCCTCTCGGTCTCAGCAGGCCTGGTCGTTGCCTCAGAGCTGGTTTGATGTGATGATAGTGTTTGAGATCAATACGACACACTGATGATTCTCTCTCCCTCTCTTTCTCTCTCTCTCCCTCTCTCTCTCTCAGGTCCTGGTGCTGCAGCAGTAGCTACCTCTGAACTGGATCCACTTCCTGTTTTTTTGGTTTATCAGCCGCCTTCGCCCTGCTCGCCCCTCTCTCCACCTGTCCATCGTCCCTCCATCGCTCCGTCTGTGAGTCCGTCAGCCCGTCCATGGACTGGCCGTGACCCTGGAGGGAGGGGGACAGAAACGAGGAAAGAGCGGAGTCGCAAAGGAGACGACAGCAGAAAACACTGGATTTATTCAGACACCTGGCTTTTGAAGAGCCCCTGCTCGCCGTCCGTCATCCCCCTCACCCTCCTCCTCCTCCTGTGATGGAGAAATAAAGGAGCCGAGGGAGGGAAGGCCCTGACACTGAGGAGGAGCTAAATAAACCCCCCTTCATTGCCCTTTAAAACTATCAAGGAAGGGTTCAGGTGTAGGGATCACCGCACACTTTAAAGAAGAAAGAAGGAGCAGAGTTTATGATCAGTCCTGCAGCGAGCACACGCAGGGGGCACTGAGTTCAGGACAGACTACGGGGAGAGAGGAGGACCACAACACACAAAAAAACTTTCTGACATGTCAACGACAGCCACCATGGGAGAAATGGCAAACAGCGCGGTGGAGTTTTATCCCAAAGGGAATCGGGGCGGGAGGGCAGATGGCAGCCAAGCGGGCGGAGACTTAGGGGTGACGGTGGAGGAGCTCAGGGACCTGATGGAGCTCCGAGGAGCCGACGCCATACAGAAGATCCAGGAAAACTACGGAGACAGCGAGGGACTCTGCCAGAGACTACAGTCCAGCACCACGGAAGGTGAGTGACAAATACAGAAGGAGGGAGGGAGGGAGGGAGGGAGGGATTAATAATGGAGGAGAGGATGGCTATAGGGGGAAGAACGGATGAGAGCACAGCGGTATAAATAGATGATGGAGGAATGTTTGGGAGGATGAGCTGATACATGAAGGGGTTGGATGGATGGTTGGAAGAAGGATGGATGGTTGGATGAAGGATGGATGGTTGGATGAAGGATGGATGGTTGGATGAAGCGTGGATTGTTGGATGAAGGATAGATGTTGGATGAAGGATAGATGGTTGGATGAAGGATGGATGATAGATGGTTGGATGAAGGATGGATGGATGGTTGGATGAAGGATGGATGGTTGGATGAAGGATAGATGGTTGAATGAAGGATGGATGGATGGTTGGATGAAGAATGGATGGTTGGATGAAGGATGGATTGTTGGATGATGGATAGATGGTTGGATGAAGGATAGATGGTCTGATGAAGAATGGATGGTTGGATGAAGGATAGATGGTTGGATGAAGGATAGATGGTCTGATGAAGAATGGATGGTTGGATGAAGGATAGATGGTTGGATGAAGAATGGATGGTTGGATGAAGGATGGATGTTTAGATGAAGGATAGATGGTCTGATGAAGAATGGATGGTTGGATGAAGGATAGATGGTTGGATGAAGGATAGATGGTCTGATGAAGAATGGATGGTTGGATGAAGGATAGATGGTTGGATGAAGGATAGATGTTGGATGAAGGATAGATGGTCTGATGAAGAATGGATGGTTGGATGAAGGATGGATTATTGGATGAAGGATGGATGTTTAGATGAAGGATAGATGGTTGGATGAAGGATAGATGGTTGGATGAAGGATAGATGGTCTGATGAAGAATGGATGTTTAGATGAAGGTTGGATGAAGGATGGATTGTTGGATGAGGATGTATGGTTGGATGAAGGATGGATTATTGGATGAAGGATGGATGTTTAGATGAAGGATGGATGGTTGGATGAAGGATAGATGGTTGGATGAAGGATGGATTGTTGGATGAGGGATGGATTGTTGGATGAGGGATGTATGGTTGGATGAAGGATGCATGGTTGGATGAAGGATGGATGGTTGGATGAAGGATGGATGATAAATGGTTGGATGAAGGATGGATGGATGGTTGGATGAAGGATGGATGATAGATGGTTGGATGAAGGATAGATGATAGATGGTTGGATGAAGGATGGATTGTTGGATGAAGGATGGATGGTTGGTTGGATGAAGGATGGATGATAGATGGTTGGATGAAGGAGGGATTGTTGGATGGAGGATGGATGGTTGGAGTGCAACAATGTGCAGCCTGGAGCCTCTCGCCTGCAGGTCCGTGAAGCCCCGCCCCCTGGAGCTTCTGATATTAAAAATAAAAGCTTGGTCTGATTTTGTTGACTAAAATATCTTCTATTTTAGTGAAATAAAACGATATGTAATTTTAGTCAGTGACTAAGTGACTAAAATTAATCAATAACAAATGAATAATATCTGACTAAATATAAAGGACATTTTCATCAGGAGACTAAATTAGAAAATGGTGTGAAGATTAACTCCGTCTGTCTCCAGATGTTTTGTGTTTCGCTCTGCAGCGGCGATGACTCATCATAGTGCGAGTAGTTGCCGACTTGATCTGTGAACTTTTCTTCCAAACTTTCCGCCGTTGTTGTAGCGGCCACACAGCCCGCCTCATCACCAAACAACTCTACACTGCTCCTAGTGGTTATATGCATATTGCATCTAGCGAGTGCGTTCATTTCTGAGGACGTGCACAACCAACGCTCCAAACCGCCGCACGATACGCGAGGCTGATGTCATGCGTATGTGGAGTTACCTCAGCGCCTAAGATAACACATCAGAGTATCTGCACTCTGAACCATCAGCTGTTTAAAGAGTTTTCACTCCTCTGGATCGTTTGCTCTGGTCTGAATCATGGGACAGGTTCTTCCATTGTTGCATAATTAACTCAAGTTTGATCTGCGTTCAGACGAGGTTTTCAAGAGGACCGACATGTGTGATGCTCTCTGATTGGTTGGCATATCACACCTGAAGTAAACAAAGACTAGCTGCCTCCTGATTGGCGACGACACGGACCGATGTCGGCTCTGCTCATTGTTTTTTATATTATTTGCATTTATCGAACGGTTCAGTTTGAAAAGAACATGTTGACATGTTTCAGTGTTCTGGTGTTTTGATGAAAGTTTGAGCTTATAAAGTCATCTGGCCAAATCTTTATAAGGGACTGCTGTACCTCACGTGTCCTCGTCTGTCCACCATTCATCATGCTGTCAGTCCTACCCATAATGCACTGTGTTACTGGCTACGGTAGCTGGTTTAATACAAAAAAAAAGTGATGAAGGTCGGTTCATGTTCTTACTACAAACGAACCACCAGAGTCTGAAAGAAAGCGGACTGAGATCCACCTTCTCTGTGCGGTTGTTTGATTGACAGCTCTCAGACCAGAGCAAACTAACTTGAGTTTGTTTGAACGGAACACGTTAGGTGGGAAAACGCTCTTCATGCTGTGCAGGACGTTTCCCCCTCACAGACCTACAGTATGGGTGAGGGAATTCTGGGTAAAGAGCGGAACAGTGTCTCGGACCTTTAACTTTGAATGTTCGACAAATCAGAACTGAACAAATCTTAAAATGTAACAATGTAATGTGAGGCAGTGAACACGTTTGATAACGGAGGTTTAAAAATGATGACGAGGATCAGAAAGTCTTATGATACACCATATTTGTAGTTTTTTCCATGGGGAAAAAAACTACAAATATGGTGGATGGGCTGAGTTTGAAGTCTCTTATTTGTTTTGAGTTTATAAAGTGTATATATTTGTATGGTGTCACTGTTCTGTATTTCTTTAAGTGCTTCTGTTTTCATCCTGAAAGTCGAGTCAGGGGTCAGGGGTCATGATTTAGTTCCCAGCTAAACCCTGTATGCATGACTTTTTACATATGAAGCGATGTTCAATGTGATGCAGAGTCACCGTGAGATACATGAATCAAATAAATAAATAAAATGGAGACAGGAAGGTAAAGCAAAGGGTTAAAAAGCATAATGTGCTAACTGATGTCACTTTGGGATCTCTAACCACTTCCTGTTTCTGTGCTTGACTTAATGTCCTAATCTTACATCTTCCAGAAGGACCTTACTTTATTTCAAAATAAAAGCACACAGCAAGGAAAGTATTAAGAGAGATCAACATTTCAAAATAAAAGTGAAATACTGGAATTTCAAACATGTGGTTAAACATGCGAGTAATCGGGGCGCAGATGGCTTAGCGGTTTTGTTGTGTCCCATGTATGGGGGCTGTAGTCCTCCAAGTGGGAGGCCCGGGTTCAAGTCCGACCTGTGGCTTCCCTGCTCTGTCTCTCTCCCCGGTTTCCTGCTCAACTGTCCTTACCACGATTAAAAACTTGAATGGTTTGGCAGCTCTCTTGAAAATGATCACCGTTGGAGACAAACATTTTTATGTTAGAGAAACGTCTTAGTTAGCCCCGCCCCCCGGTCGCCATCATCTCTTCAAACAATCAGAACGTGTCATGAAACCACCACACGTTGTGTAACGCCACAGACTTCTTAACCATGAACACAGGTGAGAGCGACATCTCCGTCAGGAGGACGCCGTGCAGCACGTCCCCGTCAGGAGGACGCCGTGCAGCACGTCCCCGCCAGGAGGACGCCGTGCAGCTGAAATCCTGCAGGACTTTGATGCACACACAACATGGATGGATGGATTGATTAATGAATGGATGAGGAGATTATGATGGAAGAATCTCTGACAGCACGACTTTGATGATTGTTTTCTAACGTGCGCTCGTACGCAGGTCGTCCTGACTGAGCCGCTTTCACACATGAATCACTTCAAACACGTGTCAGCAGGTTTTCAAACGGACGTTAAAAAGATGGAAAGATGGAGTTTGTCTGTCATTAACGTCTCATTTAGTGAATGTGAACTCTCTGCTCTGTCCCTCAGGTGTGTTTACCTGCTGAGTTATCATCTGTGAACACACACACACACACACACATGAACATCTGTTGTGTCCCTGTTTTTAACGACAACACTTCAATGAATGAAATGATGAATAAAACAAATTAAAAACATCGTAGAAACAGAATCAAAAGAACGAGCTGAAAAGATTGTGACAGCAGGATTCATGAAACAAGGCGGTTAAAGATAGAAGGAAGACATTTAGATCAGACATGAACATTTACCTCTAAACCAACCAGGAGGATCCTCATCAAACTCCTGAACTCCTCACCTGGCTCCCCTCGATGGAGTAGTGTCTCTACTCAGAGCTCCTCCCCCTGAATGCTCCTCCCCCTGAATGTCCCCCCCCCCCCCCCCCTAAGGATGAGTCCAGACCTCCTCCAGAGGAAACTCACCTCAGACACTTGTATCCTCGATCTCATTCTTCTAAGTTCAGTCTAAAGCTCATGATGTGAGGGCTGGAACGAAGATCGAGCAGTACATCGCTGAGCCAATCCGTGGTGCATCTTACCCTCATCGTGAACAAAAACCTGAGATACTTACACGCCTTCACTTGGAGTGAGTGAGCGTTTATATCGTGGTCAAAGTAGAACACTGTCCCGTCTCTGTAATGGAGACGCCACCACAGCAATGGCGGCTTGTCTACTTACTGTAATTTGTTGGATTCTGATCACAGAAAAGTAGAGTGTCGCTCTCTGAACAACCTTTAAGGACACACTCACACTCGGCCCCGTTACCCCGCACCGCGCCTGAGCACGGTTAGCTTACCTGTTGTACGTACTGTGGCGCAAGGAAATAGAAGTCTTGCAGTCTGCCTAACCCGGCTGAAACGTCTCAACACTTTTTAAGATCATCACTAAACAGTCAACATGCTCGATTGATTCACGTCATCACTCGTGCACTAACCTGAAAAAAAACGTATCGGGTAAATAGCGTCCACAGACTGTCTGACAGTGGCGCGGTCTCGTGGGAGAACATGGCGGCAGCTTGACTGAATTTGTGGTTTAGTTTTGTTCAGGTACGGCTCTCTAACACTCCTGGATTTCTTGATTATGCAACACGGGGATCGATTGTTCCTCACGTCCGCGTTGCAAACCGTACCGTGCCGAAGCGGAACTCTTCCAACCGCGCCATGCCAGGCCGAGCGAGGGCGTGCAGCGAGGGAGCAGCACTCACACTGGCATGAGAGCGCCCTGAGTCATAAAGGGAGTTTCTTTGGGTGCCATGTTTCTAAGAATCCTGGAGATGTTTTTGAAGCATTTTGAAACAACTTAAAGATGATTAGAGATTTATTTATCAGGATGATTGAAACATTAAAGCTGAATGTTTATAAATCTGCTCGGGAATGAACTGTGTGATTAATCATCTGATTATTGAAGAGTGAAGCTGACAGGTTGATTGATTCCACCACCAGACTGAAACGCTCAGACGCATACACACACCAACAGGGTGATTATGTCAGAGAAAGTTTTGTAATGACCACCGAGGGAGGGCGTCGTTTGTGTCGGCGTGCTTTAAGTGTGTGGACGTGCACTTAGTATGTTCTCACAGGGGTGTGGCTCAACACTACGCCCACTCCTCCAACTAGTTAGTATCCTAGCAACACAACAGCAGGGGAGAGAAAGTTGGCTGAGAAAGTCAGCAAGAGAGAGGAGAGCTGTGAGATGGAGCTGCTGAGGGGTGAGTGAAGGGAGAGGGTGTGTGTGTGTGTGTGTGTGTGTGTGTGTGTGTGTGGTGTGTGTGTGTGTGTGTGTGTGTGTGTGTGTGTGTGTGTGTGTGTGTGTGTGTGTGTGTGTGTGTGTGTGTGTGTGTGTGTGTGTGTGCATGTGTGCATGTGTGCGCGTGTGTGAGAGAGAGAGAGAGAAAGTGAGGGAGGAAAAGTGAGAGAGTTGGTGGGTGTTGAGTTTCAGTAAGTCTGTGTTGAGTGTTGCTAATTTGATACTGTGAGCTGGTCAGGAATCAGTGCAGCAGGTCCACACACACACACTCAGAGTCATGTATCTGCAGTTGTCCCTACTAAACAAAGTTGGCAAACACTGCTCCCTCGAACACGCGCTCCTGGACGGGCTTCTCGTGCACTCGGTGTCATCTGGCGTGACGAGGCAGCCACACGCGGACGCTCGGAGGTGTTTTCTCCTCACGATGGAGATATTTTCTGCTTCACATCAGAGAGTTTGACAGCGGAACAAAAATCTGCGTCCTCTCTTGCTCGTTTATTATAATAATCACAGAGATGATGTTCAGACGTTTACATCAGGATGTGTAATGTGATCCTCGGAGCAGGAAGGGGGTTAAACCACTACAGAGAGTCTCACACTGCAGTATGAGACCATTATATCCATGCTGAAGAGACCGAGAAGAGGAGGAGGAGGAGAAAAAGGAGTGCGAGGAAGAGTGTGTGTGGTGATGGGGGGGGGGTGTGAGGGGTGAGGAGGGAAAGCTAGAACAGCTTGCCGCATTGTCAAGGACACATCAAGGGGAGATTGAGAGAGGGAGAAAAAGAGAGGAGGAGAGCCAGCGAGAGAAGAGGAGGAGGAGGAGGAGGATGGAGGGATGATGATGAAGAGTGGGAGGGAGGGATGGAAGGAGGACGCTACGATTACTCAGCATAAGGTCACCTGTTTCTCTCCGCCTCGCCTCGGCCTGAACCCTGTTGAGCATCATGTTTGCTACACAACTCTTCAGCAGTGCTGGGAGCTTCATACGAGTCCCTGCAGCAACACACACAAACACACACAAAGACACACACACAAAGACACACACACACAAAGACACGCACACACAAAGACACGCACACACACACAAAGACACGTACACACACGCACAGGCAAACACGCAAAAAGACAGTCAGCGATTTCAGCCAACCACAGCTCACCAATAATCAGCTGGTCCCCCCCCCTCCCCTAAAGCCAATCAAAAAAAAGAAACACATAAAAAAAAGCTCTGCTCCAAACCATGCACACTGGAGGAGTGACATCACCTGTTGCTGGGCAGAAACCTGTTACAGACAGGAAGCCCCTGGACCTGATATCCTGGTCACCATGGAAACTGAATCACTTAGGGGTGAGGCTGGAGGGGAGAGGGGGGGGATGGAGAGAGAAAAGTGAAGTTTGAGTTTTAATAAAACATTTGACTGTTTTTATGTGTTCGTCACAGTTTTTCTTCCTGGATGGAGAGAAAGCTTTACGAGGATTGTTTGTGCTGAATTTGCATGTTTGTGTGTCAGCGTGATGAAACACTTCCTGCTTTAAAGGGCTGTGAGGGATTTTATTAAAACCTTTAATGAATGTAAGTGACCCAGAAATGTTTAAAAGAGCCTCTGCTTCTTAGAGATCTCACTGAAATAAAATAAAATGGAGCCTTTTTTTTTTTTATGTTTCAGCATCATAAATGTGAGTTGTGAAGGTTATTGTGCATGCAGGTGTTTTTTGATTGTCACTGCTCACTCGCTCTTCTTTCCTCCCCCCCCGTCTCCCCCCTCACAGGTCTCAGCGGGGACCCTGCAGATTTGGAGCGTCGGTGCCAAAAGTACGGTCAGAACTTCATCCCCCCGAAGAAAGCGAAGACGTTCCTGGAGCTGGTGTGGGAGGCGTTACAGGACGTCACACTCATCATCCTGGAGGCCGCCGCCATCATCTCCCTCGGCCTGTCATTGTACCAGCCTCCCGGGGAAGATGGCGAATGTAAGGAGTTGGGGGGGGGGGGGGGGGGTGATGTGGCAAGGTGTTATGCTGGTCAAGGGGAGGCCAAGACACAAGATGAATAAAGGCTCAAATCCCTCACTTCTCAAGCAGACATTAGAGGCGTGGCCTGTCTGACTGCAAGCTGATGCGTTGGAGCGGTTTGTCAGGATGCTTCAGGCGTTCCTCAGCTCCTCAGCTGTTAGGTTGACCTAAAGATGGACAGTCAGCACGCCCAGCATAGAGACCTCCATCGATAGACTAAGAACTTGATATGATAGTGATCACGTCTATAAACCATGATCCTCACTACAGCTGAAAACTGATTCACTCTCTGTCCTCCTCTCTGCAGCGTGTGGGGAAGCAGCGGGGGGAGAGGAGGAAGGCGAGGGCGACACGGGCTGGATCGAGGGCGCGGCCATCCTGCTGTCGGTGGTGTGCGTCGTCCTGGTGACGGCGTTCAACGACTGGTCCAAAGAGAAGCAGTTCCGGGGTCTGCAGAGCCGCATCGAGCAGGAGCAGAGGTTCACCGTCGTGCGGAAAGGAAACGTCATCCAGATCCCCGTGGCGGACATGGTGGTGGGGGACATGGCGCAGGTCAAATACGGTGAGGACACACACATCACCCTGTACGATAATCCATGTGAGAGACGACGAGTCTACACAGCTGTCCTCTTTCCAGCAGAGACACAGAGGAACAGATTTCTCTGTTTGACATCCCTGCATCGACACCTGTTCATAAACTTGAATTAAACACTGAAATGTGTGTGTGTGTGTGTGTGTGTGTGTGTGTGTGTGTGTGTGTGTGTGTGTGTGTGTGTGTGTGTGTGTGTGTGTGTGTTCAGGTGACCTGCTGCCAGCTGACGGGATTTTAATCCAGGGAAACGACCTGAAGATAGACGAGAGCTCGCTGACAGGAGAGTCCGACCACGTAGGCAAATCTGTGGATAAAGACCCCATGCTGCTCTCAGGTTTGTTTTTGTTCCTGCTGAGTCGACGACATGAAACAGAAAACAAAAAGTGAAGCATGAAATTAATTAATTTTTATAAGTGCTAGTATTTATTATTCCCTGGGGCTGGAGCTGATCCCAGCTGTCATTAGTCGAGAGGCGGGGTTTACACCCTGCACTGTTCACCAGCCAATCACAGAGCTGACATATAGTGACAGACAACCAGCCACACTCACATTCACACCTACGGACAATTTAGAGTCAGCAGTTAACCTAACGAGCATGTCTTTGGACTGTGGGAGGAAGACGGAGTACCCGGAGAGAACCCACACATGCACGAGGAGAACATGCAGACTCCACACAGAGAGACTCCTGTCAGACGGAGGCCTCTGATTGGTCTAACATCAGCGTCCTCCTGACAGCTCATTGAACTCCGTCTGATTTTTTTTTCAGGTACCCACGTGATGGAGGGCTCGGGCAGGATGCTGGTGACGGCGGTGGGTGTGAACTCTCAGACAGGAATCATCTTCACCCTGCTGGGCGCCGGAGAGTTGGAGGAAGAGGGGAAGGATAAGAAAGGTGAGTGATGGAGAAGAGGAGAGAAACACACGGAGGCCTGAGGAGATTTTCTACAGAAAGATCAGAGAAAATATCTCCAGATTCACATGAAGTACAAATTCACCAGTCATGACTGGTACAGACAGGCAGAGGGTGTGTGTGTGTGTGTGTGTGTGTGTGTGTGTGTGTGTGTGTGTGTGTGTGTGTGTGTGTGTGTGTGTGTGTGTGTGTGTGTGTGTGTGTGTGTGTGTGTGTGTGTGTGTGTGTGTGTGGGACACATTATTGGACAAATCAATATATTGACTACAGAGAGATGCAAATGAACAGTAAATGACAATGAAGAACCACAAGATGACCACAGAGAGATTTAAAACAGAAATGAAAAAGGCAGAGAACAACAACAACGACTCCGTTAGAAACTCAGAGACACAAAGAAACTACTCCAAAGAGATTTAACACCAAAAGATAAATGTAAAGAGATGTTAAGAAGTCTGCAAGAGACAAAACCCAACCAGAAATACAACTCCAAAAAGATTCAACAGAGAAACAAAATAACTGAAAAAAAAGACAGAGATTAAAGGAGCAGTATTTAACTCTGACCCCTAGTGGTTAAAATGGGTACTGCAGTCTAAATTCTAAACATTGTAGAGAGCTGCCCCCCCCCCTCTCTAAAGTGGATGCTCACGCAGGTCACCATGTGGTGGACACTGAAGCTTCAGTGTTTATCCAGCTCTGCATGGGTCTGTAAACCTTTCTGTGTTCTCACCTCTCTCCATTTTTCAAAAGCATCTCCAATATTGATCCTAGTTTGAGCACGTTTCTGCTCGTGGAGCTTATTAGAAACATGCAGAGGCTTTTTAGGTCGGGTACAATCACTTCTATCTGAACCACTTCTCTTGCCTGCTTCCATCGCTGCAACACCTGTTGACCTGATAACTGCTCTCATATCTGGCAAACCGAGGGGCGTCGGGGGGGTGCCTTAAAACCGTCTACCTTCTCTGGTCCAAACAAATCCAGAGCATTCAGGACCAGAATCTAAAGTTAGAAGGAGGACATACTGGCTGCTGCATTGTTGTCAGAGAAGCCAGCACTTCAACATAGCATGTTTCCTTAATGTCTGATCAGATAGTAAGGTACCGTTATCATTTCACTCACTACACATCTCACTGATTGGACCTTTAAATCAACATTAATAGGCCAGGAACAACACTTTTTAAATACAACTCTAAAGAGATTTTGAGACCCAAACATGGACTCAAAGTCTACAAAAGACAAAAACAACCAGAAAGAAACTTGAAATGAAGATAAACAGAAGCAGAAGGAGCATAAAAAGAACTAAAGTGACACAAAACAACAACACAGAAGCACAAACGCACAAACGCAGCCTTAACGGGGCGCAAAACAACAACACAGACACTGAACAACACTGTCAGGTCGTTTTGTGTCTCTTTTAGTCCGGGGGTTCATTTCTTATAGTCTGTCCATGCACACATATCAGGGCGTGTGTGTGTGTGTGTGTGTGTGTGTGTGTGTGTGTGTGTGTGCGTGCGTGTGTGTGTGTGTGTGTGTGTGTGTGTGTGTGTGTGTGTGTGTGTGTATGCAGAATTAGTTGGGTGCCAAACTGATTTGAGATAAGAGCTCCAACAGGAAACATACCAGTTTAACCTCATCGATAATTTAGCCCACATCCTCCCTCTCTCTCCTCTCTCTCTCTCTCTCTCTCTCTCCCTCTCTCTCTCTCTCTCTCTCTCTTCCCCATCTCTCTCTCTCTCTCCCTCGCTCCCTCTCTCTCTCCCTCGCTCTCTCTCTCCCCTCTCCTCTGTGACCTCTTTCACTTTCTTCTCTTTCTCTTATCCCCCCTGTTCCTCCCCCTCTCCCTCCCTTAATCTGAGCGAGAGAGTCTGAATCACACTGAATCAATTATTGAGAGAGCGGGGGAGGGAGGGAGGGAGGGAGCTGGGGAGATTCAGGGAAGAGTGTTGGTTGTTCAAAGCTGGAAGCATTAGTGTGTTCTGAAATGTGTTTGGGACGCTCCCTGCAGTCAGAGCGCGGCGAGCTGCAGACAACAACGAGGCTGCACGGACTCTCAGAACCACTTAAGGTTAACGTCATTACGGGAGCATCCACCCGCGCTGTGCCTGCTGCAGCTTCACTCTGCATGGGAATGTTCCACAGATTTAATGTGTGCCTCTCTAATCAGGAGAAACAGACGATCACAATGTCAGATTTTTAAACTTCGATATGATACGAGAGAAACCAAACTATATCCAAACCGGTCTTTATTCCACGGCAACAAAGATGGAAGTCCTAGGTGTCTGATTTCTTCTTTTTAATGATCAAAACCTGCAGACAAACTCCCGCTCGCTGTCTCAACTGCACAAAAACAAAGACAACGTTTTGGGTTTCACTCGTCTCCTCGCCGCTAGCTAATGAAGAAGTTATACTATTTCTTAAAGTGACGGTACTTGTTGAAACTATCGATCATCAAAATAACAAAGATTGTGTTTTATTTTCTCTTGGTATCCAAAAGTGTTGTCGTATCAACGCCCACATGTTGGGCCCCCCCCAGTTGAAAAAGTCTGGACATGCCCCTGATTGGAGAGAATCCATCAGAAACTGCAGACGAACTCCTGAACACTGTCTCAATTACAAAAAAAAACATCTGTGTGTGTGTGTGTGCAGCGTAGGCAGTGTGCAGGAGTGTGTCTGCAGCTTTAAATAACTGACAGCAAGAAATTCTGTCTTTGCTGTGGTATCGATATCATTTGATTTCCACGAGTACCAGATCAAGGTTTAAAATTCAGGTATGGTGACACTCCTGAAGTCTTGGTGTGTTAAATGTTGACAATCCTTAAAACAGACAGAACCAAACAGAAGTGTGTGTGTGTGTGTGTGTGTGCGTGTGTGTGTGTGTGCAGTGGGTGCAGCAGCCTCCGTTGGCCCGATCATTCAGACAGTCATTTACTGGAGCTCATACATTATTCACACCACTTCTACAAATGCCAGAACTTGTTAGTTTCTCGTCTCCTGCGATGTGGCTCTGCTGTGAGGCGGTCTGCTTCTGGCTCTTTGATCTGAGTTCATTCAGTTCATTTTTTTTATTTCTATAAGAACACTTTTTTATTCTTTGCTTGTTGCTCTCTTTTGTTTCGCCCCCCTCCTCACACACCCCCAAACAGAGGACAGTACTCAGTTGCCCACGTCCACTGAAGCCAGTTTCAGCACAGTGACCAATGGTATGTGAGCATTCAGTTGTGTGCCCCGCCCCACTCCTTCCCTCAGCCAATGACTGGACCCCAGTCCATGGTGCCGTGACCTCTGATGGACCCAGTGTATGAACATGTGTCCACCTCTCTCTCTCCCCTTCACTCTGTTTCTGGACGTTTGTCTTTGGCTGTTGTCAGATAACAAACTGTTAAAGACACATGTGAACGTCTTGTTTTAACCACTTCTTGATCATTTAACCTCTAACTACCCCCCCCCCCCCTCCCCCTCTCTGTCTCTCAGGTAAACAGCCTGATGGAGCTGTGGAGAACAATCAGAACAAAGGTAAAAACTCATTAACGTGTGAATAAACTTTTGTTTGCATCCATGGTTGAAGGTGAAGCTAATGCAGAAAAGCAACAAACTGCAGTTCCTCCAGTGTCCACTTGAGGCTGACTCCAAACGACCCGAGGTCCCATTAACACCCAAATTAAAATGTCCATGTTTACTGCAGAGATAAACACGTTTACAGCCTGGTGCAAAAAAAAGGTGTTACACCTGTTCAGTAAGTCAGACTGCCACAGTGGCGGCGCCCCCACGCGAGCATGCAAACCATGTGTGAGCGTGTAGGGAGGTTTGAGCCCTTTGAGTCAGCTCACACCCCCCCCACACCACACACACACACACACACACACACACAAAAAGGTGTTACACCTGTTCAGTAAGTCAGACTGCCACAGTGGCGGCGCCCCCACGCGAGCATGCAAACCATGTGTGAGCGTGTAGGGAGGTTTGAGCCCTTTGAGTCAGCTCACACCCCCCCCACACACACACACACACACACACACACACACACACACACACACACACACCAACACACACACACACACCCCCACCACCCACCTCTCTATTGTTTGAATGTTGTGCACCAAGAAAGAGGTTTCACATCAGCATTTCATCGTGTCTATTTCAGCACCATGGACAGTGACTGGTACTTCTCAGAAAACAGAGGAGTAACTGAAGTAATCAAGAGAAGTTCAAAACACTTATGATAGAAACTTTATTCTTAAGAACAAAAGTCAGCTGATGTTGAGTCTAAGCAGGTGCACATGTGAGCCTGTGTACGTGGCTCTCTATGACCTGGTGGATCCATCGAGGCCCAAACCCTGGTTGGCTGCAGTGTTTGGATGCTGTCATGTTGGGCTCCAAGCTTTAGCTTAATGTGCAATCAGCAGGCTGCTAATACGCAGACCGGTCAGCGCTGTCGATGGTCCTCAGGTGCTGATTCAAGGCTGAGGTTGAAATCAGGATGAGAGACATTTCTAATAGTCTAAAAGAAACATCTTCAATCAGACATGATCTGTTCAGGCTGAGGGGCTCCTATTCAAAACAGAAAACCATAACAAACCTTCAAAAACACACAGCTACAGTCGCTAATGGACAACTACCCGAGGGAGCTGGGAGGGTAAATGAGCGTTTATTATTTTATTGTCTTGTATTTCTGTTTAATTGGGGCTTTTTGTTTGACTCACTTGTGTGTGTGTGTGTGTGTGTGTGTGTGTGTGTGTGTGTGTGTGTGTGTGTGTGTGTGTGTGTGTGTGTGTGTGTGTGTGTGTGTGTGTGTGTGTGTGTGTGTGTGTGTCTGTGTTACCTCTGCAGCTTCAGAGCTCAACTCTGTCTTCATGTTGATCTGTTTTTTTTTCTTTCTGTGTGTTTCAGCCAAGAAGCAGGATGGGGGTGTTGCCATGGAGATGCAGCCTCTGAAGAGCGCAGAGGGAGGCGAGGTGGAGGACCGAGAGAAGAAGAAGACCAACATCCCGAAGAAAGAGAAGAGCGTGCTGCAGGGCAAACTCACCAAGCTCGCCGTTCAGATCGGCAAAGCAGGTAAACCGCCATCACTCCTGAACGTGGCGGCGTCGCTTTGTGCACCACACGAACGCATCATGAAGATGTGAAGTGAAACAGAGCGATCAGCTGTGTCTTCTCTGATTCTCTCCTCAGGTTTGGTGATGTCGGCCATCACCGTCACACACACACACACACACACACACACACACACACACACACACACACACACACACTTGAGAGTGTGGCTGATGTTAAAGTCTGTGTGGCGTGCATTGCAGGTCGCTCGTGGCAGCCCGAGTGCACTCCGGTCTACGTTCAGTATTTTGTCAAGTTCTTCATCATCGGCGTCACTGTGCTGGTCGTGGCCGTACCCGAGGGTCTACCGCTCGCCGTCACCATCTCTCTCGCTTACTCTGTCAAGGTACAAACTCAGAAACCAAGTCAAAAACCAAAATCTGCTGACTCCATCTTTAATGACTCTGCAGCAGATTTTATAGAAACTGAATGTCTTTAATTTATCACGTCCCGTCTGCTCTCCATCACTCTCTCTCTCTCTCTCATGTAGAAAATGATGAAGGACAACAACCTCGTACGCCACCTGGACGCGTGTGAGACGATGGGAAACGCCACGGCCATCTGCTCCGACAAGACGGGCACGCTCACCACCAACCGCATGACGGTGGTGCAGTCCTTCCTCGGTGAGTTGAAAGAAAACTTTCAATCAGTAGTCAGATAATGACAGAGAGGGCCGCCATCAATCCAACCTTAATGTGACATCACAGCTGAGAAAGTACAGGAGCCCGGAGTGGACAAAACATCCACGCATTGAATTTTACTTTGTTGTCCTGCGATAACCGTAAACTTATATAACACAGTTCTTTCTGTCATAACGACTTCATTTCCTGTTTGGGCTTCTGTAAGAAAGTCAGGATAGCTCATATCTTGTTTGATGAAAATAATCTGCCTTCATGATTTTGTTTTTTGTACACATTCGTATTATCGTTGTTTTCTTTCTCATTCTTTGTAGATTGTTAGAAGAATTTTAAATTTAATCTGTTTAAATTTCATAAATGATCAACTGATTGGTCTGTTTACAAGACTGGAAAAAATACTGTCTAAATTTTACTGGGGATTGATGTACATTTGAATCAAGCAGCAACATCTGGTTTTAAACATGAAGGCGTTGCTGAAGTGTAAAATCCTGCAGTTCCTGGAGTGTCCACTAGAGGCTGGCTGCAGAAGCACAGGAAGTCACATACACACCCATTCTAAAAAGCCTGTTTTTACAGCAGAGATTAACATGTTTACAGCCTGGTTCAAAAAAACAAGTAGGTCTGATTAGCTCATGTCTTGATGGACACACACTGTACGGGGGGGGGGGGGGTGAATGTTTTGATGACTCATCAGTTTTGATTTGATGAAGGATAAGAGTTATTCACAATAAGGCGTGTAGCTGACCTGATTGAAAGGTGGGCGTGGTGTAATAGTTTGTCAGGAGGTTTAAAACCTGCCTCAGCTCATTCTGTATCTGATTGATAACAGAGGACATGCTTACATAGCATGTAGGTGAAATGTAAAAGGATTATAACTGATGTGTATTAAAGTCAGGTTGTTGTCATCCAGGTGACGTGCACCACCGTGTGGTCCCGGACCCTGGACAGGTCAACCCCCGCACTCTGGATCTGTTAGTCAACGCTATCGCTATCAACAGCGCCTACACCTCCAAGATCCTGGTGAGTCATGCACACTACACACACAGACACAGACACACACACACACACACACACACACACACACACACACACACACACACACACACACACACACACACACACACACACACACACACACACACACACACACACACACACACACACACACACAGAGAGGATTTATTCTGTGAACATTTCAGTGTTGATGAAAATGATTTAATCCTGTCATTTGTCTGTTCCTCCCTGACTCCACCACTGACCTCGTCTTCCTCTCCGTCAGCCGCCCGATGTGGAGGGGGGTCTGGCCAAGCAGGTGGGCAACAAGACGGAGTGCGGTCTGCTGGGGTTTATTTTAGACCTGCAGCATGACTACAGCCCCGTCAGGGAGCAGATCCCAGAGGAGAGACTGTACAAGGTGAGCTGAATCTGTGTTTGCAGAAAGGACACCTGTCCACGTTTTGATGGATTCTCAACCTCTGGGTCAAGACCCCATGTTGGGTCATTTCATGTGCAGACACGGCCGTAGAGGGAGACATGGGAGCTTTATTTTGAAACACATTTTTAATAGTCTAAAGTTTAAAGAGCTTAACATGTACAAATAAAAACATTAGACTTATGAAAACTGAAACTGAAAGTTCTTAAAAACAAATAAAACCACTGAAACCCTCTCTCTCACTCTCTCTCTCCCCCCCTCTCTCTCTCACTCTCTCTCTCTCTCTCTCTCTCTCTCTCTCTCTCTCTCTCTCTCTCTCTCTCTCCCTCAGGTGTACACGTTTAACTCTGTGCGTAAATCCATGAGCACGGTGATCAAGCTGCCCGACGGATCGTTCCGTCTCTACAGCAAAGGAGCCTCCGAGATCCTGCTGAAGAAGTGAGTGGGGGGAGATGAGGTTTTATTCTGCAGAGTTAAACACGGTGCAGCTTAAGCAGAGAATGTTTCTAAACTCCACATCTGGAGGATAAGCCTTCCTTCACTTACGTTACAAGATGACAAACATCTTACTGGTCCTGTAAAGTCCCTGATGAGGCCCCCGTTCAGTCAACATGCAGAGTTTGAGTCATTCTAAAGACCAGGTCTCATTTCTGTTTCTCTTCTCAGGTGTTCCTACATCCTGGACACCAACGGAGAGCCGCGCAGCTTCCGCCCTCGTGACAGAGACGAGATGGTTAAACAGGTGAGAGCTCACCTGTAGAACGGTTTGAAGTGACTGAAAGTCCCTCTGCACCTTTAAGAAAAAGCTAAAGACCCAGCTCTTTCATGAATACCTACTAACTTAATGATGATGGTCTCCATATTATTGATGATGACGATGGTTTTTGTTTGATAATGACGACTTATAAGATGGTTTCTATACTGATTAGAGCTCTCAAGAACTGCCCTCAATGTTGTGCTTTGCCTCTGGTCACTTCCTGTCAGCACCTGTGTGTCAATGCTCTTACTGACATTGTTCCCTTTTTTCTAGATCCTTGCTTGTGTTGTACTTACTCTCTGATGTACGTCACTTTGGATAAAAGCATCTGCTAAGTGAATTGTAGAAGTGAGAGGAGGAGGGTGCAGGTGGGGGGGGATTCAAACCCACTCTCGCTGAGATGATTACTATAGCCTCTGTACACGGGGTGTGCAACATAACCCCTGTGGTGCAGAGAGTTCAATGAGGCGATGGACGCCACTCCTCTGATCTAGAGCCCTGACAGGGGACGCAATCGAGCCTGGTCCAAACTGCACGCTGTGTGTCGTAGAAACTCTCTTGGTGTTTTAGAATCCGCATATATACTGCGTTCAACAGCAGCATGTAGCCTGACCTCCAATCGGTGGTTACTCTGCACTGGGCCTCGCTCCGTTTCAGCTCAAGCAGCTGTAAGGATCACGAGGTATCCAAAGGTCTCAGATATCATTTAAAGACCCCAAAAAAGAAATCCAGAAGATGATAAAATCCTTCTTTAAGAAAAATCCTGAACAAACAGCAAACTGAGGGGTTGGTCCATGTTCAGGTCTTAAAGCGAGAGAGAGAGAGTCATGTCTCTGTGTTGCTGCAAAGGAGATTACTGAAACTTTCCAGAATCAAAAACAAGAAAAGAAGACCATGTTCTGTTCTTGTTGCCGTGTTGTTAAAACAGGTTTCATGTTTACTAGCATCGTAGCAGAGTTTTAAACCTCCGGCGTTTGTAGAGATTTTAAAGTTTTTGATTGAGCCGAGAGAAGAGGACGAGGAGATAAAAACACTCGCAGCTTCTCTTCAAATGTAAAAAAAAGAATTCTGTTTCCGAGAGGATCACAACACGACTGGACAAGCATGAAGCGCCGTCAAACAGAACATCAAGGTTCTGTGCAGCAGGCTTGAAATGATTTCAGCCTCCAACTAAAATTTAATGAAACCATCTGAGAAGTTTGGAGGCGAGATGTCTGTTTGGAGGAATTCTTAACAAGAAGCTCCAAACAGCCTGAAGGAGACAGAGCCGAGGAGGAACACATCATAATATCTGTCGGGTGAACGCAGCCGGATAAAATATGAGCGGCTCCCTGATGCTCTGCAGAAGAAATGTGAAGAAGAGTACCTGATAGAAACCTTTAAGTCCACATATGAGAGAGTGGAGGACATGCAGCTCAATGCAGCTGTAGTGTCATGTCTGATTCTCCTAAACGAAGCGTTCTGCTCGCTCCTCGTGCGTCTCTCTGCTCGCTCCTCGTGCGTGTCCTCGCTCGTACAGTCGAGGTCGCGCGCAGCGCTCCCTGACTGACGGGCTGGCTGACCTAAATCTGGCTCATGATGAACACAGCTTGTGCCCAGAGAAAAATAACTCTCCTCCTTACACAACTTTATTCCAGCTCACTTGTTCAGTTTGCATTTTGGCGTCTTCATGTCACCTCGTCTCTCCGTCACGCTGTCTCTCCCTCTGCCGGCTGCGGCGGGCCGGGGGGACTCCCCCCCCTCAGCTGTGTCAGAAACATTCCCACAAAGGTACTCACAAGGTCATTGACAGGAAGTTGGGACTGTGTGCCCGGCTGGGATGCTTTGGTCATTTTCTGATTCCTCAAGGATTCATTTTAATGATCGATTCGCTTTAAAGGGGTCATATTATGCTTTTTCTGGTTTTATATGCCCTTTAGTGTGTTTTCCTGTGCATGTTTAGGCACATCTATGTGCAAAAAAAAAAAGTCCGCGGAAACGCAGCTTCTCCTACCTCCTCCTGTTAGCTGCAGCATTAGCCGCATGTAATGCTCGGTTCTAGCCCCCCTCGATAAAAATTTGTCAGTCCGACGTCATTGTCAGTGTGATATCACTGATCTAAGCCCATTGGCTCGTTGTGGCAAGCCCAGCAGCTCATGTTGTATGCTCGTTAACTTCTGTAGCACGCCCACGATATGCCGTAGCCTGCGGTAGCACAGTAGTGCTAAGGTGCTAATGTTTTTGCTCCCCAAGGAGCCAAAGTGGCTGCATTCCCAATATGGTAAAAGGGGCGGGACATTTCCGAGAACAGTGCTGAGCGACTGACCAATTACGGCAGAGCCGACAGGCCAACCAATCAGATCAGACTTGGCACACGTGGGGACTCTGAACGTGGGCACTTCAGAGCCTTAGAGAGAGAGTCAGAAGCGAGCTGGTGTATGGAGCGGCAGTACATGAAAACAGACACTTACACTTAGAACTTTAGCTATTGTGAACATACTTTAGTAGGTACATAGATGAAATATATGAACCCCAAAAAGGGCATAATATGACCTCTTTAAAGAAACTGCTTCTGTTTTAAGATTAAGATTTACTTTATTAAATTCTGTTTTTACACTCTGTAAGTCATTCAACACACTCATAGGCTGAAATACACACACATGCACAAACAGGATGCTATGGACATGCACTAGTGGAGAGATGTCAGAGTGAGGGAGCTGCCCACAGCAGGCACTCCTGGGCTGATGGTGGGGAGGGGGGGGGAATCAGTGTTTTGCTCAAGGGCAGCTCGGCAGTGATCTGGCACCTCTCCAGCTACCAGACCAACTTCCAGATTTGGTCCCGCACCGGGACTTCAACCGCTTCCCAACCCAAGTCCCTACAGACTGAGCTACTGCCGCCCCAAGATCATCGGTCCACAACGTGCAGACCAAACTGCTGTTCAACGTCTGAACTGTAACCATGACGACGTCTTAGCGGCGTGCGGACAGCGTGCAGGAGATGCCATCCTTTGTCATTAAAAACAAAAATGAGGGGTTGGTTACGTCTGGTTTTGTTGCCGTGGGAACAGGTGATCATAGCATTCTGTTGCCGTGGGAACAGGTGATCATATTGTTAGGTTGTTTCCTGTTCATGGACGTCTTCCTGACGAACAGCTGTGAACGATTTGATTTGATTGACA